TTTATTTTGGTACCAGGGATCGAACTTGGGACCTTGCGCTCGGCAAGACAGACGACAGAACCGCTGAGCTAAATCCCCGGCGAGGCCATACTCTTAAGTGAAATAAATAGGACACATATGTAAATACTGAATAGTTTCTCTGGTGTGAAAAACTAAAAGTATAAATAAGGATTGAAATGTATAATTGATAATTAAAATAGGAAGAAAAGGTCTAAAATGTAGCAGAAGTGAGAGGGGGAGAGGAAATAAAGGGAAGAGAAAAAACATGAGAAAAGGAAAAAATGGAAACAAAGTCTTTGAAAATAGAGAAGGGTGGAGGGGGTGAAGGGAGGGCAGGGAAATGGGGAACAAATAAGAACCAAGATGCATCATGTAAAGGTACAACATCCCAATGATGAATGTAACTGTATTGTATACCTAAAATGTACCAATAAATTTGTGGGGTTTTTTTTTTGGTACCAGGGATTGAACTCAGGACCTTGTGCTTGTGAGGCAGGCAGTGGAACCACTGAGCTAAATCCCCAGCTGACCAATAAACTTAATAAAAATATGTATTTCTCAATTAACTAAAATTCGTAATTTGATTCCTCCTGTGAAACCTCCTTAGGCCTAGTAGGATATGGTGGTTGTTCTCTGATCTTGGCCATCCAGCGCCAGGCTGGTGCTGCTCCAGCTCTTAGGCAGTGATGGCTAGACACCAAGAAAGTTGGCCTTGGGGCTCCTGAAGCAGGGAGTACTCCTCACTGTCTCACTCTGTGCTCTTCTGCGGTTTCCTAGCTTTTTATTCCATTATTCACATGTACTCATGTACTTTTCCATTCCCAGTTTTTTTCAAACTAGGTGTGGGTTTTGTCAGACTGCCCTTGAGTCTAATTACTCACCACAGCCCCTTTTGTGAGCCATTCTCATTGTGGGCCTCCCCAAGAATTGTTTCAGAGTCCCTCTCACTGCAGGCCACTCCTGCATTCCACTTGGGATCGTAAATTTCATCTGACTCAATCCTTATCAGTTTACTCCCCTGCCATCCTAAGGGAACAGGTTTTTCCCTGGACTCCCAAACCTTACCAAGATCCTGTTAGTGTGCTTGTTGTTCCAGAATCATCCTGAATCCCAACAAGTTCCATTGCACTGGCGGCAGGGGTGGGTGGAGAGGGGTGAGTTCTGGGCTGTGGGAGGGCTGGCAACTGAAGTCTCACCTGGTGGCGCCAGAGGTCCGAGGATTCTGGAAGCTCAGGCCCCTCTTAGGCCTGCAGGCAAAGGAGACAGCAACTCTATCCTCTCTAGTCCTGGACTTCTGGTCACCAGAAAAGAAATGTTGCAGAATCCGAGACAGGAGAGTCCAATGGCAATCAGAAGACAGAGTCTTATGAATCATATGAGAGCAGAATGGCATAAACTTTGTTTATAGGACATAGGTGTCAATTTTATTTGTACCAGAACAAGGAGTTACAGCTATAAGGGTGGGGGGGATAACTGGGCGGTGACTGGGAAGAACTTGCTTTTCTCTAAGTCCCGCTTCAATGGAAGCCAGGAAGCAGAGAGAAGGGAGGAACAGGAGATAAACTTCCAGGCCACACCCCCAGTGACCAATCTCCTCCAATCTGACCTCACCTGGTAACAGCAAGCCAGCTGTAGCACCCCATAATTTGGTCACCTCAGAACACAGGAGGCATTTTAAATCTAAACCACTTGAATTTCACTTCTATAATTGAATATTTTTAGTTTTAGTTTTGCAGGGAGTTTCAACCCAAGGCCTTTGCACTGAGCTACATTCCCAGCCTTTAAATTATTTTGAGACAGAGTGTCACTAAGTCACTAAGTTGTATAGGCTGGGTCCAAACTTGCAATCCTTCTGCCTCAGCCTCCCAGAGTGCTGGGATTATAGATACATGCCACTATGCCTGGCCTGCCGGGTGTGGTGTTTTTAATCATCAGCAAAAGCTTCACATTTTTATTTTCATTTAAGAAAAAATAAGTAAAAATCTTTTGATTTTTTAGCTTCCAGCTATTTATGAGTACTTACCATTTGTACCAGTTCTCTGAAATTTGTGAGCTTACATTTTAATATATAACATATTTCACAAATTTTGTCTTTTTTGAATTAGTTGAAGCTATCCCCATTTTACAGGTAAGAAGACAAAGAGCTAAGGTACATGGCTCTGCTTTTCTGAGAACTGAAACTCAAACTCACATCTGATTCCAAGTTGGGTATTTTTACTGTGCTACACTATTCTATACAGCATTTCTGCCAATAGGGGTCATTATACACTAAGAAACATTAACTGGCTGAGTAATCTTTCAGAGAAATTCAAAGTAGGAATAATTATGCTTCACTTCAAGAGATGACTCCTGGGCCTGTTCATGCCCAGTTTACTGACCATGGAGGACTAAAATGGTTTTCTTAATCTTTTTGTTTCTTAGGATGAAGGAATGTCCAAGACAAATTTATTTCTGTGTTTGCATATATTCCTTTGTCTTTCCAATCTGGGAGCAAGATTATTTTTTAGAGCTTTGCAGTTCAATGGATACATAATGCAGATATTTATGATGGGGTACAATATGATGTTTTGATACATGTATACTGTACATTGTGTCATGATCAAATCAGGGCATTGAGCATATATGTCACTTCAAACATTTATCATCACACCAGACCCCTCTCCTTCCAGGCCCTTGTCCCTACAGTTCTCTGTGCCTAGACACTTTTCCCAGTTGCCTGTGCCGAGTCTACCTCTCCTCATTCAGATCTCTGTCTTCAATCTCCATACCTCTATTCATGCCTTTTCTTTAAATTGTTGCTAGTTTATAAATACACATTTTAGGGCCAGGGATTGTAGCTCAGTGGTGCAGTGCCTGCCTGGCAAATGCAAGGCTGAGTTCAATTCCTAGTACAAAAAAAGAGAAAGAAATATAATTTTATTTATCTATTTTATTTATTTTGGTACCAAGGGATCAAACTCAGGACCTTTAGTTTGTGAGGCTGGCGGCAGAACCACTGAGCTAAATCCCCGGCCTGAAATATACATTTTAAATATATTTATTGTCTGTCTTCCACCATTAAGGTAGAAACTTCCTGAGAGCAGGAACTTTGTCCTTTTATTATTCACTTGGCAGGACACAGAACAGGGCCCATCTGTAACAGGCATTCAGCAATTACCTGTAAATAAACCTATCTTCCATTTGCACTTTTAAGCCTTTTGTTTTTCATGACACATTAACCCAAATTGCAAAAGCTGAGCTTGACTCTATATTGTTGGAGACCTTGCCAACAGGAACAGGAAATAAACTTCTCTACCAATACTCCATCTTATTTTTTCAACTCAACACCTTTTTTTTGGTACCAGGGATCGAACTCCGGACCTTGTGCTTGAGAGGCAGGTGCCGGAACCACTGAGCTAAATCCCCGGCCCAACTCCATCTTATTTTTTAAAGAAAAGCTACAGTGGACCCTCAAGTTACTAATGGCCTGACATAGGAACTTGGGTTAAATGGAAGATTCAACGGCCTCTTGTTATCTATTATAGCATGTACCCTGGTAAACATCCAGATGTCAGCTGTATTGACTTAGTTAAAACCAGACCTTGGGAACCAATCGAGTTCGTAAGTCAAGGGTCCACTGTATTGTAACTGATGGACAATTGTGCCTATTATTTTTTCCAGTACTGCGGATTGATTTAGCCCCAATAGTCTTTATTTCACATGAATTTCCAATGTAGGGCAACTACAAGGCTGCCTATGCGCTCTTCCTTATTCCAGCTTCCTCAAGTAGAGGGCTGTGGGGAAGAATACACATTTCAGAGGGGAAACAGGGCAGGGGATTTAGCTCAATGGTTCCGCTACCCGCCTCACAACCCTAAGGAACCGAGTTCGATCCCAGGTACCAAAAAAAAAAGAGGGACAACAGAGGCTGAGGAGGCCATGCACTCTTCTGTTCATTTCTGAAACAAGGAAGCTTATGAAAGCACCCTTTCTTCAGGCCTTCTTTGGGTGACAAATAAGGCAAGGGACTTTTGGGCTCATGTTCCCTACACCATTGTAAGGCTCATTTGAAATTTAGGTATCTATAATAGTGACCCTCGGAGATAAGACCCCTAACCCGTAAAACAGCATCACAGCCCCAGATTCAGCAGCGTCCCAGCTCTGGGCCCTACCATTCCTGTGTCTTTATCACTTCCTCTTGCAATATCTACAATAAAATTACTTTCACTTTGAACTAGACCTCTGTTCTGACTCCTCTATCTCTACATTGGACAATGAGAGTGAGACCTCTAGACCCTAGACCCATCAGACCTAACAGTAAGTGCCCTAAATTCCAAAACAGAGCAAAGGCCACGGGAAGACTGTCAGAAAATGTTTTCAGAGTTTAGATGCAGTTGAGATTTGGCTTATGTTTTTTAAGAGCTGCACCTCAGTGAAGAGGTCCTTCACCAGCTGGAGACAGCAGCATAGTAAAGCCAGGAAGTGAAGAAGAAAAAAAGCAACAGCAACCAGGCAGCACCTTTGCAAGTGATCATCTTTGTGGTCTCAGCAATTCTAGCAGCTTAGAGTCAAAGAATTTTCTTTATATGATTCTAGCATAATCTTTGTAACTTGTCACACTTTAATTTTTTGAGCTACTTAGCTTATGACTGAAGGAATTATTTAACCTCTTTAATTTGTCAAATAGAAACAAATGCCTGTTAAAGTCAGAGGATACATGTGCAATAACATATGTAAAGAATCTGGGCTGCCTAATGAATTCAATAATGGTGATTTTTCCTGGTACTGTTAAATCTCACATAGGCTTTGAAGCAAAAATGGCTATTCTCTGCGAATACACATTCCTTACTGTGAATACTAACAAACATTATTATAACAAGTAACTGTTTTATGGGTGGCTGTTTTTAAATGGTGAGTAAACACTAAATTAAATCCCAAAGTAAACCCCACCAAAGTCCTTTCCGTGAAGAGCTGCTAGAAGGGGGCAGGAGTGTAAGGCTTAGAGAACAAGAGCCATGTGAACTTTGGCGCACAAATTCTGAAGTGAAACTGGCATTACAAACTGTTCTGTAGTCTTTCCCAGTCCTCCTTCCCCAACTCCCACCAACAGTGATAAAAAACTTTTACACTTTTTAGTGCTATATTTACTATTTAAAAGATACTTTGTTGTGCAAATCAAACTTTTTGCATGACTTTATTATCCTCTCTCCCAGTTTTTATTATTGAATAATGAATAGAGGTCAAATTAAATCATAAGTGTTTCTGAAACATGGCCAGTTTTTGGTTTTTTGTTTCCATAATTGTGACACTAACATGCTTTGATTCAAGTAATCATTTTCAGTCAATGATGTAAGTAGATGATCTTGTTCATGAAAATAAAAAAGCTTTTTATCTTACAGGCCAGTCACCTCACACATATCCAGTTCAGAGGATGCTAATATAAACCTTGCCCACCTCTCTTGGCCCATCTTTCTTACTCAGATAGTTTCCAAGAAGCTCTCTGATGGAGACACACTCGAGTGTCCAGAACAAATTGTTCCACAGCTTTCAGTCCTGGCAGATGGCTCCTCAGCATCTCACTTTTGACGCTGTCTAGGATGACTCCTCTGACATCTTTAGGTTTTCCTGGCACACCAAAGATAAAAAGGCCCAGACAATCTTCTCCTATCAAGTTACAGAATGTTTCCAACTTATCAAACCTACTTTCCTTCCAGGAAGATTCCTCTGGCCTTGACTGTGGATTGAAAACGTCACAAGGCTTTGGTTGTACTAGAGGAAGAGAAGTCATTTGTAGAGTCTGTACTACAACCTGAAGCCTTATTTGCTTATTGGATCCCCAAAAGGTCCAAATCCAGTCTGCCCCAAACAGCAAGGTTTGGTGCTTGGTCATCTTTGTGGTAGTAAGCCACTCATCAACTCCTTTTTCTTGACAGAAAGTGATGAAGTGGATTAGGAAGATCTCATTTAGAGTATGTGCAGCTGGGCAGAGTTTACTCAGAGGATACTCCAATCCAAGATACTCCTTCTGTTTTTCAGCTGAATGAACTATAGCTTCACTGGCCACCTCACACCAAGAATCTCTTTGTTGTTCTCTAGAGCCACCTGTTGTGATGCTTTTTGCCCCATTTTTCTGCACCCCAGTCAACACTGCTCCCAAATATCATGCATGTGAATGTTGTGCAGAATTTCTTCCTTTTCAAAGGGCAAGTTCTGCAATGAAGTCACATCTGTTAAAATGGCCAGTTTCCTCACCTCTGCAGCTTCCTTGGTATAGCTAAGTATATAGACATACAGCTAAACAAACATTTGAGGCTCACTGTTTGTCATTTGGCAGTGTTGTATTGAGATTCCTGGTGTTTTATTAAGTTAGAGATAATAAATTCCACACAAAACAGTTGTTATTCTCTAGGTTATATTCACTCTACTTTTTGTTTCTGTGTGGCACTGGGGATCAAATCAGCCAGGGCCTTCACATCTCCAGACTTTTTTAGGTATATTTTAAATTTTGAGAAAGGATCTTGCTAAGTCGCTAAACTGTCAGACTGGAGGCTTGACCTTGTGGTTCTCCAGAACAGTTGGGATTATAGGTGTAAGCTACGACGCCCAGCGCATCCTACCTTCCATCCTTCCTCCCTCCTTTTCTCTTTTTGCAGTGTTGGAGACAGAAGCAAGGGCCTTCACACTGTAAACCAGCCCCTTTTATTTTGAGAGGGACTAAGTCACCAAGGATGAGCTCGAAATTTTGAACCTCCTGTTTCAACCTCCCAAAGTGCTGGGATTACAGGTATATGCCAACATGCCCAGGTTCCATATATCTCTTTCAACAACTAACTTCAAATTTGTAGGTAAGTTGTTTCTGTTCGCTTTTCCTAATTCCTCATTTCTTAGCTCAGTTGCATATATTTTCTTTCACACACAAGTTTCTCAAAGATCTAAAATTTCTCTATTGTTACATTTATGAACCATACTGAAGAAAATTTATGGTTTAAAAACTAGAGTTTGCATTTTTATTTGTTTTTTGACACAGGGTCCCACTTTATATTCAGGCTGGCCTTGAAGTCATTATGCAGCCCAGATTGGTCTTGAACTCATGGTGATCCTCCTGCCTCAGCCTCATGCGTGCTGGGATTAGGTGTGCATCACCATGCCAGCCCTATTCGTTATTTTGAACAAAGCAAAATTAAATAATGACAATAAAGACGAGTCAATTATCAATTGACTTTATTTCTTCTCATATGGCATTACCAGCAGCATATATTTTATAAATAAAATATATCATCAAACTATTTAACCATACCATCAGTTATGTTATATTGTCCTGAATGAAGAATATTTGCTATCTGTAACAGTCTTATGGTATTTTGAACCAGGTTCTACTAACAAATTTGAGTTTTTCAAATGATGACATAAATTTGTATTAAAATAAAACCCAAATACAGGATGAATCTAATACAGTTACCAAATAATGAATGGTAGAGTTCAAAGAAAACCATTGTTAGTGTCAAATTATTTTAGTGACAAATACATAATAATTTAGTTATAAGATCATTGATGAATAGCTTGGTAACTTGCTGAAAATGAAAAATAGCACTGATATTCCAATACAGTTTATAACCAAGTCCACTGGGACGAACTGAACTGCCCACTTCTGCTCCACCTCTGCTCCAACTCATAAACACCCACTCTACACAGTTGGCTATCATGAACAATTACGTAGCACTGAATGAAAAACAGGCTTTTCCTAAACCAACAACAAGATAAACACGGAAACAGTTTTTGCTGCAGTTTTCTATGTTCTTTATAAAGAGTATTTTGGTGTTGTGTAACATTTTGTCTAAAAAAGTCATTACAGAACTAATTTTGCAGCCTCAGAATTTTTGAATTCTGCCCCACTGACAGCTTGGAAAAACATACAATTAGCAGGTGTAGTGCAATGTTAGTATTATGATATCATGATGTATTTGGCAAAGAGGAAACTAAGAAACAATACTGTAAAGGTTTTTGTTTTGCTTTTTGTTTCTGTAGAAAATTTTTTTGCAAAATTTTAGGGTGTATGAATACTTCTGAATGCATTCAAGTTAACAATGTATTCATGCCTCTCAAATTCTTCCTTATAAGGTAAATGGATCCAAAATTAAGACTGAAATATTTAAACTGTTCAAGAATTTTGTGGTAAAATCAAGGAAGGTGTATTTCATGTATATTAACTTAGTTTCAATGACCAACATTGTTAAAAATCATCTATGGAGAAAGAAGTATCATTTTGGTTTCTTTAGGCTGGTATATGGAAATTTAGATATTTGGGAGGTATTTTGTTTTTGATGTGACCTTTTCATCATCTTCCTTATGTCATAAAAATTTTATTTTCTACGTACTGTGTGTGTGTGTATATATATATATATATATTTAGAAAAATATAAAATAAGAGGCAAGTGGAGGTGTGACTGGCATTTAGTGGGCACATTGAGTGCATAACAAAGTCCTACATATTGGTCTTGAAAGCACAGCATGTCCTGCATAGATGGCTGAGGTGAATGCAGATGTGACAAAGTCATTCCCTCACTGGTTACTGCTCCCCAAACCCTCTATACTGGGGATGTGGATGGAAACACTGGTAAAACACTCATTTTTAAATGTAACACTTTAAATATATCATAGATTTTTACATTAAATAGAGGAAAAACAATCATACTCTTTACCAGTGTCTCATTTTTGTGGCAATTTCCTCTTTTTTTTTTTTTGGTACTGGGGATCAAACTCAGGACCTTGCACTTGCAAAGCAGGCAGCGGCACCACTGAGCTAAATCCCCAGCCTTGTGGCAACTTCTAAATAGGAGCATTTCCCACTTTCCATTTCCACTTCTGTAGAACAGAAGTTAAGATGATAAACAATATACAATCCCTTGCCCGCTGTATACATTGTATTTGAAAAATAAAGTGGAAAAAAGACTAAGGGTTCCAAGTGCTTATCTAGTTTCCACAGTTAAATGTTTGAATCTTCATCTGTAATACTGGCACTGGGGGAACAGGCAGCAAAATCTTTAAACATATCATCTTCTTTTAACATGTGCTAGAAAACAAGGAGACAAGAAGCCACACACTGTGAGACACTGTGAGTCCTGAGCTCAGAACTACACATTCTCCAATATACATGCAGTCTTTTGGGATTATTTTAACAGATATTATTAGGGATGCATTTTCCATTCATTGTACAAACTTACTGTTAGATTGTTGATGCCTTCAGAAAATGCACCTATCTGTCTCACTGTCCCTTCTGAATCTTCCATCTGCAAAGAACCATGTGATACCATTTTCATAATAAGAAGGAACAGTAAAGCAAAATGAACACAATGTAAGCCAAAGGGAGGCATGTTTTTTCTTGTTTCCATGGATACCTTTGGCTACCTACTTAGCCTCTCTGTGCTTCAGTTTACTTATCTAAATAACAAAACAGAACCTGGAACGTAGTAGTCAATCTGTAAGTGTTCACTGTTACTTTACTATATTTTAGGGATTTTAAGAAAAAAACCCCAATTATTAGATACAGTGTATGAAGTTTCCAGTCAGTGTCTGAATGCACCACACACTTTAAGAGACATATATATATATAGTGTTGTGTTTACCTGGTCTAACCGATCGAAATCATCTTCATCATACAGGTGCATGTCCAAACCAGGCTTAAATCCTTTCTTTGAGACACTTCCTGATGCCTGTCCCAATTCCATCGGACAAACATATTCTTCTCCATCTTCCTGTTTCTTCTTTCTCAGATTCCCAAAATTGCTGAAGCTAAGTTTCTTTGGCTTTAAAAGAAAATAAAAACATCCACAGTTTGGATTAAATTCATATTACAAAGGAACCTATAACATGTATAATTAAATTATATACCTTATCACACAGTGAAAAGTAACTGAATGATTAAATCTGCATAAGAAAAACAAAGGCACCTGGGGACAATACATATAAATATAAATGATCCTAGATATGAAAGAATAACAAGATTAATCTTATTCCTTTTATTCACACAAACCAGCTGGATAGCCATGTGATTAAATGTGCTATGACCCTTTGTTTTGATTAGATAGGACTTAATGCAATAGGATTTCTCAGACTGAATCTAATCTTGAATGGTTTTCACTCTAAGGTAAGTGATTTTATATGTCTGTTCTGCTTCCACAGAAGGACTGGTAACTGGTAAAAGCATTCTCCTTCTTTTAGTGACAATTTTAGTGATATATAGAAAAGAAACTCCATTTTAGCTACTAAATAGTCCCGAGATTACCAAGATGACTGAGAATTTAAGTAGAACTTTCTCAAAGGCTTCAAATCTGGCACATCTTTTATTAAAGAGATTCAAAGCCAGAAAGGGAATAAACACCTAATAAATAAACAAAAAAGACTGAGCATACACTTCTGGAAGAACTGACAAACTCTACCTCCATATTAAGGTAGTTGAGATAATATATAGAGATGAGTTAAGATACAAATTATTTATTTATTTAAGTTTTGGGCCAGGGATTTAGGCTCAGTGGTGCTGCCGCCTGCCTCCAAAGTGCAAGGTTCTGAGTTCAATCCCAGTACCCAAAAAACCCCCCTCATTATTTATTTAGTTTTTCTTTTTCCCGTACCAGAAATTGAACTCAGGACCTTGCGCTTGCCAGGCATACACAGTATTTAGGTTTTTTTTGAGCCAGGGTCTTGTGATGTAGTTCAGGATGGATTTCATTTTACTATGTAGCCCAGGCTGGCCTTGAAATTGTGATCCTCCTGCCTTAGCTTCCCAAGTGCAAGATCATATGCATGCATGACCACACCTGGTCAACAAAAAATTTATTTATTTATTTATTTGGTACCGGGGATTGAACTCAGGACCTTGTGCTTGCAAGGCAGGCACCAGAACCACTGAGCTAAATCCCCGGCCCATCAACAAAAAATTTAAAAGAAAAAAACAATAGTCTGAATTTGATATAATCCACAAATCCATTAGAGAATGGACACCTAGTCTATCTTGAAACATTTCTTAAGTATTTTTTCCTAACTTGTAAGGCTGGTCAATAAGCCAGAAAAGCTGAATCTGTACAAGGAAATATTTTCCTTTATCTACAGGAAAAACAGAACTGCAGCTAATATTTGGGCCCAAGAGGAGGCTCTCTGCAGTGATGATACATCAACTGTAGAAGCCAACATCCTGTTCTTTATTACTCTTGAAAATATGCGTATTTTAGCTAGGCATGGTGGTGCATACCTGTAATCCTAGCACTCGGAAGGCTGAGGCAGGAGATCTGCTGTGTGTTTGAGACCCTGGGCTACACAGTGAGTTCAAGGCCAGCTTTAACTACACAGTGAGACCCTGTCTCAAAAAACAAGAACAAAAAAACAAAAAAAAGAAAGGAAAAGAAAGTATACACACTTTAAATCTACCCATGAAAGTTAGTAAACCCAGGAAACGATTTGAATAGCAGGTAGCAGTCAAAACCAGGCCGTTGCTTCATGCACTTTATTAGATGGTACCAGCTTGAACCCACCTTCACTTTGGCAGTAGCTGTTAAAAGTACATAATCTGGTAACTCCATGGCATCTCGCTTCTGATGTTGGGCCTCAGCACCAATCAGAAGGTTGAAATGAGTGGCCAAGTGTCTTCTCAACAGCGTTTTATTTGGTGGAATGTTTAATAACTGAGCCATTGTTTCTACATTAAAACGAGGTTCTAGCACCTGTAAAAACAAATGTTGAAAGGTATCATCCATGTTTGCAGTGTACTTTACAATGTCCAAAGTCTCCTTTGGGTTATCTCCAATGATCCTCTGAACAGGCCAGGGAGGCAGACAGGGAATGGACTTTGATCTTTAATTTTCAAAGTGGTGGAGGTGGTCCAAGAATCTAGGCTTCTGGTTTTGTAATACCTGTACTTCTGACTCTTTGGAGCGTTGCCTCTGGAAGCCAACTCCTTATGCAACATCAGTGTGGAAAAATACAACCTGTATAATTGCCAGGGTTTTAAATGATGATCATGGGGTGGTCGCTTCGGCAGCACATATACTAAATGATGATCATGGGACAGATATGTTACTCAACATGAAAGAGGACAATAAAGGAGAAATGGGTTTATATCTGAACTAGAGTTTTATAAAATAAAAGTATTCTGAAAGTAAAGATTCACTAGAAATAGTGTAAGAGGGTTAAATTAGATGACTTTGGATGCCAACAAGTAAACTGATACAGAATGTATCCCTTAAACAAAATGCTTGGGACCAGGAGTGTTTTAGATTTGGGATTTCCTTTCAGATTTTTGGAATATTTGCATGTATACAGAGGACTTCTAGGGATGGGATGCAAGTCTAAACATGAAATTCATTTATGTTTCATATATATAACCTCATAATAATTTTAGTGTGCTTGTATTTTTTTTTTCTTGGTACCAGGGATTGAACACTCGGGTCCTTTAGCTTGTGAGGCAGGTGGTGGAACCACTGAGCTAAACCTCCAGCCCCAGTATGCTTGCATTTTTTTTTTTTTTTTTTTGGTACCGGGGATCGAACTCAGGTCCTTGCGCTTGCACAGCAGGTGTCGAAACCACTGAGGTAAATCCCCAGCCCCTAAGTATGCTTGTATTTTGACTGCAACTAACTGTATGAGGTTAGGTGTTGAGTTTTCCATTTATAGATGTTGGAGCAATTCAGATTTTGCTCAACCTACAATATCCTGGTCATTAAAGTAAAGGAAACAAAATGAGATGTCAATGTAAAATTGAAACAGAGTTTTACCATGAGTCCACCATGGACCCCACTGCCTCTGAGGTTGGGGGCATATTCAGCCAAGTCCACTGAGCGCAGCCACTCCATCACACGATGATTTGTCCACTGCTGAACTTCAGATGGGGTAATGTTACTCTGTGGGAACAAACAACCACCATGAGCTTCAGTTGTTGGTGACAGGATTCTCCACATCAAACTTGCATGTGCAACCTAAGAAGTCTGCACCACACCTGCTGCACAAGTGCAAGGAACTGAGTTTGATCCCTGGTACCAAAAACAACAACAAAAAAAACCCCAAAAAGAAGTCTGCCCCATAGAACACTATGACTTGACATCCCACTACATGTTTTGTTTTTTGAGACAGGATCTTGCTACGTACTTTAAGATGGCCTTGAACTCACTATGGAACCAAAGCTAGCCTTAAACTCATTGCAATCCTCTTGCCCTAACTTCCCAAATGCTGGGATTACAGGCATGTGCCACCACATCTGGCATCCACCTTATTAAAGAAAAAATGTTGATTTGAATTTTCTTTTAAAGAATTTATATCAGAGTATCAAGCTTTCTTACACACTAAGAAGAAAGAGGAAATGAAATTTTTATAGTAATATTTAGTTCTGTGGATTAAGAAGACAGGACACAAAAATATACCTATAAAAAAATGAAAAACAACCCTTTGCTTTAGTTACACAGAGGAACCATCATGGGGGAAAAGAAAGAATGATTGGATTCAAGGTTCAAAAGAGACTGGCTTTCCCCTCAGGCTCCAAGAAATGGGTCTTAGTTTTGTACACACAGTTGCATACATGAGAAATGGATGCTTATAGAGACTGTTGGAAATGCTACCTCATCTGACGGCCGCCTCCGTAGGCAATTTGGTTCAAAGTTATTGATCCTCAGAACTTGGATGGCCCTTTTGATACTGAGATGGTGCAGCACACTCACAACCTTCACAGACAGTAAGTCATCCTGCAAAAAACCAGAAAGAAGTGTTCACTGTCCTGGCCTATAACGATAGGACCTTTCTATTTCTATGGAAACTGCAAAACACTGGAATGTGCTTCACAAGCTTGCCAGGGATTTCAAAGCTTTTATTTAGTAACAGAATCCCCTTTTCCTGTTCTGAACAAAATCCTCTCTGGACCCCATATTAAAGGTGTTACCAACAAAGCTGACTGTCAACTGTTTTTCTCTTTGAGATGATCTGACAGGAGAATGCAATCCCAGGGCTCTGACAGTGTGAAGAGCACTTACTGGATCATTATAAAAGATAATCTATTTTCTGAGTTTTTTGTTTGTTATTGGTGCTAGTGCTTGCCAAGCACGAGTTCTACAACTGAGGTACATTCCCAGGCCCATGTGTTTCAATTTGCATACTGCAAACAAAGGAATTTCTTTGCTTCCATCTTGGATTCCTAGAACTTTTGTCTACAGGTAAAGCAGATATTTAAGCACAATTAAAGAAATGGGCTACACTGCCTCTTCTTTTTCTTTTCAGCCCGCAGTTACCATAAGAGCCAGTAATGCTCACTAACCATCATGGTTTGGTTTTCCATACTGAGGCATATCATAAGGAAAATCAGAATGCCCTTGTTAGATTATTCCCTGGCCTTAAGAGTTCTCTGGTTCTAGATCATTACACACTCAGCAGGCAGTGTGACCAATGTTGGAAAAAATATTTTACTTAGTGCAGAGGTTTCAGTGTGAGTAAAAAAGAAAAGAGAGACGAAGAAATTATAAGTATTAACATATATCACTAATCAGCCCCTCAAGAAAAAACTTTGTGTGACTACTGGGAACATTTCCAAATATATCAAATACACCCAAGCAGATTATTTCAGAAGGTGATTTGAGGGGCAGTGTCAAGATAAGCACCAGTCTCACTCAGAAAACAAACAAGGAAACATCTACTATAGGCACACTGATAACACATTTCTTATTGAAGAAAAAAGAGGAAGAGGAAGAAGAGAATCTTCTGTAAGAATATTTTTAAAATATGTTAGACAACAGTTGAAATCCTCAAGGCTACTAACTGGCTACTATCTTTCTACTCAAATGCCAGGATGAAGAACTTACAACAGTCATGTAATGGAGCATTCGACCATCCACTCGTCCTTCATCAAACTGGGTCTTATACTGGGGAAGGCCAATATCATCCAACCATCCTAAAAGAGACAAAGCAGTATCATTACTATGCCACAAAACACCTTTTTTTGTGATGAAAAAGACAGCAATATTTATTATTATTATTTTTAAAAAATAAAAACTTCTTACTAGTGACCCAGTTGAAATCCAGCTTTCCGTGATTGGTTTCTTCTTCAGATCCTAGGGCTTGCAATGCCAGCTGGAGTTTCTTTCTATGAAGTGAATGCTTGATTCCAAGTTCCTGATGTAATAAACAGAAACAATGACTTTATAATTCTATCTATATGGGCTGGAAGCACTGGCAAAAATATAGGAAGCTCTCCAAAATGAAGCTACCATTAAAGACCCAATTCTACATTAAATTAGAATACTAACTTGGGGTCATAAAATATTACTGAATAATACATCTCTAGAGATCCAAGACCACCACAATTCCTTCAGTGGTGCGCTAGACATTCCACAGTGACTCATTTTCTATGTAAGATAGGACTTGTACTATGCATAATAAGAATTTTACTCTTGGCCAGGGATTTAGCTCAGTGGTCCCGCTGTCTGCCTCGCAAGCCCAAGGACCTGAGTTCGATTCCTGGTACCCCCAAAAAATAATTTTACTCTTTATTTTGTGCAAAATGTTAAGTTATTGGGACATAAAATATAGAGTGCTTTTCTTTTTCAAAATAAAGTTGAAATGTGATTTTACAATGAAATATGTCAATAAGGCCATAAAATGTTTTGAGAAATATGAACTTAAGATTTATTATTATGGCTAGTTATTTTTCATTGAAATGTTCAGTGGCTCAGGTATTCCATAAAAGTCAAGATGAGGCCCTTCCTTTCAAGTGCCTGAGGCAAAATAAGCAGGAAATGGTTGAAAAACTGAACTCTTTTAAAAGTCTGTAACAGTAACTCTACCCATGCCCTTTTCTGAATAAAAAACAATTCTACATTCATATTTGCTTTCTTTTAGTATTTTGTAAACAAAGAAGCAGTCACCTTCTCTAAATCTTGTTGAGAAGCCTGCAAAAGGGTTTGACCAGATGCAATCCAGTGTTTGCCAGAATTCAGGTAGGACCCCAACCCCTGTTCCACCAGCCAAGTACAAACTTGCTCCTTGGTCCATTTGGCAAAAGGCATATCCAAGTCACTACAGGAAAATGAATGATTGCATGAGAAACAATTTAAAGCCAACTTATCATTAGTTTTGAACAACTATACATTCAATAGACATGGAAATTCCTTGATGAATACACCTTTAGCCATGAAAAGTTTAATTTTTAGTGCATATTTGGAGAAGGAAGTAGAGTTTAAAGTTATGTTTGACTACAACTGTCTTTGTTTCAAATGAAATTGCAAAAGATTCAAAGTGATTTAGAAAGAATGTGTCATGTACCCGTACCAACTACACATGAGTAATGCAAACATTATGAACTGCAAATACGTTCTCAAAAAAAAGGAAGGGCATCAAGTGATGGGTGGAGGGAAGGGAGGGAAAGAGGATGGAAAAAGGAATCAGAATACATTACGTACCTGTACCAACGCCCCACAAAGACTTCAAACATTATGTACTGCACACATGCACTAATCAAAAATGTGTATCTAGGCTGGGGATTTAGCTCAGTGGTATTGTGCCGCCTTGCAAGTACAAGTCCTGAGTTCAATCTCAGGTACCACCAAAAAAAAAGTAAATCTAAAAATAGACTATATTAAAAATACTAAAATATGAAAAAGTAAAAAAAAAAAAAAAAAGAATGTGTTGTACAGAAAAACATCTAGTTGAACCAATGTAAGTCACTGAACCAATTTCAACCAATGTGGCTGGAAGATTAGATTCCCAAACAGAAAACATCCAGTAGCAAATCTACTTTGAAATTCAAATCTACCTTGAAGTAACTTTGGCAGAATTATGGTTTCTTTGTGGTTGATAATCAAGAGAAGAGGATAATATGTTCTAAGTGTAGGAAAGAGTAATCAAAACAATTTTTATTTTCTTTTACTTTGTATGCACAGACACTAGTGCTCTGATGTGAAAAATAAATGTGAGGATGAACACAACTCTTTAAATTTTTTCAGTAGCATAGAAGTCCTTTACTATGTTCAGAAAGAACATATGGCAAATGAGAACATTCAGTATTTAAAGAAGGCCAAAGAAAGACTCCTTGATGAAAGCTGCATCCAGTGTTCCACCTGTGTGGGAAAGACTGTGTAGAAAAGGTTTCACCCCATTATAAGATTTTTATAAGATTCAGTATCAACACTTTTTTCTGTTTGCCAATCTCACCCTTTCATGCTCAGTAGATGAGAATGTTGGCTCCAAATCAGCTCTATACAACAGGTAAACCACTACATCTAAGAACTCTGGTAGAATTTATATCTTTCAGTGCTTTCAGACTCCATTAATCTTTAATGTTTACTGAACAGTTATTATTTACCAGCTACTTAACAAATAATAACTCATTTAATCTTCAAAATCACCTTTTGAGGTAGGTACTGATTATGTAGATGACAATGATGATGAAAAAACTGAGGCATGGGCTGGGGATTTAGCTCAGTGGTGTAGTGCCTGCCTGGCAAGCGCGAAGCCCTGGGTTCGATTCCCGGTACCAAAAAAGAAAAGTGAAAAAAAAGACCAAAAAAAAGCCCCTAAAAAAAAAAAAAACCCTTAGGGCCAGGGATTTAGCTCAATGGTGCCGTCGCCTGCCTTGGAAGCACAAGGTCCTGAGTTCGATCCCTGGTACCAAAAAAACAAAACAAAAACAAAAACAAAACAAATAATAAGGAAAACAAACAAACAAAAAAACCAAAAACAACAGCAACAAAAAACTGAGGCATGGAAGTCACTGCTCAGGGTCACCTCATTGGTAGGAAGCAGAAAGACTAGAAACCAAATTCAAGCAGTCTCTCTAGAATCTACTTTTGGGGGGTTGGTTTGTGTGATGCTAGTGATTGAATGTAGGACCTTACACACTAGGCAAGTGTACCACCACTGAGCTACACAGCACCCAACCCCCTAGGACCTACTTTTAACCACTATGTAATCCCACCTTTCCAGGCTATGCTTTTGGGTACTTCTAATATAACTGCTGCCTATGTAAAGTTTAAGCCCAAGAATCATCATAGTATAGATGCTGCTGACCCTGACACTTTAGCTCTGGCTCTGCACCTACCTCATACAGGGCTCGGCTTCTGTGCAGTTATTATTAACCACTGACAAACTGCACCACTCTAGAAAGGATGGGTCCTTCCCTCAGGCATGGCAGTTAAGCCAAGACTTTGAATTATTTAACCCAGTGACAATATTAACATTGTATTCACCAGCCCTTGACCCTTGAGTAGAGATGCTAAAGCCCATTTATTTGGTTGTTCTTACCTGTTAGTCTGTCCCAGATCACGAGACCAACCCAACCGAGGACCTGCAGTTGCCCTTGTCCCTCCTCTTTTGAATTCAGGTTCAGACATGTCTTCTGGGTTGAATGTGGTCGATTGACTTCTCCTAAGTCTGAAGAAGACACAACAAATATGGCCATTATTAGACTTGAGGAAGGCTTAGACTTTTAATCAGAATGTTTTAAATTGGTATGTTCATTTGAGTTATTCATCTTTGTATGTAGTTAACAAAGACATCTGAATTTATATCTGAAGACCCGGCGAATTAATGGATTCCAAATCACAGTTTTCCTTCCATAAGAGCACACAACCTTACAGCTTCATGCCCATTTTCTGCCAATTTCCCCTTTGTCCCTATATTTGGGCAACAGGTAACACAAGACTGAGTACTCGTCCACTCTTTTACTTACTTTCCAAAGAGTCTCCTGATACCTCTGGATTTCTTTTTGGAATCTGGAGAAAGTGGAGACATCTGGAAGGTACTGTTCCCCTGTGAATCTCTGGGCTGAGAAGATGCAGCAGCCAGATCCAGGTGCTCTGCTGTCTCCTTTTCTGTTTCAGCTATTCCAAGATAGAATAAAGACTTATTTAAAATACGAAATGAACATGATCAGATTTTAACCTTCTTGGTTTTTGCAACTGTTAAGAATTCTTAGGGGCCAGGGATTTAGCTCAGCGGTTTCGCCGCCTGCTGTGCAAGCGCAAGGACCAGAGTTCGATCCCCGGTACCAAAAAAAAAAAATTCTTCTGCTGTTGCTGTATAAGTCAGTGATTTACAGAGAACACACTGTAAATATGAAAAATGGAAGCAAATGTACATTCTACTCTAATTTAGACTCTTGTCTATAAAGACAACTAAAAAATACTTTTTTGAGATTAAATGTATGACAAGATAGCCACATTCTTTCCTTGTGTGACCTGATTTCATAATGAAAATTAACGCTACCTTGGTCGACTACTTGGTACTGTTGGGTACCACCCACTTCCCTTCCTATTCGTCGTGACACTCTCCTAGGTCTGTCACTTGACAGTTTCTTCCTGGCTGTAGCAACCCTGTTTACTTTCTCTCTTCCATTCCACTCTAACATTGTAAGGATCTCCTGAAAAGCTTACCCGCACTAAACTCAGCACTAAACAATGGCATTACTCATTACAGGAGGTGGCACAGAATCTCTAGACCTAATCTTTCTCCAGCCTCATATCTGAATGTGTGTCATATTGTCAATTCAGTGTGCTGAGGCATCTTGAACTCAACTAACCCATCCAATGTCTTTGAATGTCTCTTCTAATTATTTTATTTGATAATTAGTATTAAGTAACAGTATCCCATCCCTGTTATTTCAGTTCAAACTCTGTGTCATTTTCTTTTTATTTCCTTTTTTTCTCCTTTGGCATTTAGAGACATTAGTTATCAAGTTAGGGTTTCATTGAGAAATTTATCCCAACCTATTTCCTAGGCACTGGGAATGCAATAAACTGGGTAAGTGTAAGTTTTTCTCTTGACATAAAATTAGTGCCTACTGATTGTGCCTTAAAAAGAAAAATATTCACATTTGCCACTGCTAGATCTCAAAGATAAACTATTTTACTTATTTTATGTCCCTCACTGGTTTCCTCAATGTAAGATTTTACACTTTATAAAGAAAAAGCTATGCAAGTATCTCAGGAACAAACAGTGTTTTAGCAAAATATACAGGTTGTAGAAGCTCACTTTTCCATGAAGCAGGACTGTGATTATGGGTTATAGTAAGCAGCTATTTGCCTGTAAGCATTGACAATATAGTTCTTCTAAGAATGATGCAGAAAATGATTTGAAATAGTTGTCTGATAAGGTCAGTTTATGTATCCAGCACTCATTCTAGACATTGAAGATTACAAAGAGAGCATGTCAATTCTGATGGTTCATGTGAGCAGACAGGTGGGTATCTATATAAAGTGACAGCAGCTACTGGGACAACCCAAGGGACTCTATCCAATCACAGGCCACAGGCAAAGTGAGTATGGCCTGAAAATGTTGCATAGCTCACCCTCATTTATGAAATATCATATTGGTTTTTCTCTTGAGGACATTTTTTCTTTCTGTACACTACACTTCTAAGAAAAAAACTGAACTTCCACTCTTCAAAAATCTCTGATAATATATAAAGTTATCTCTGCTATTAACTGTTACCTCAATTTTCAAAGCAATAAAATGCCAGAAGTATGTTCCTCAAACAGAAGTTAAGTCTAAAGCTGTCATCTTCAGTGTCTTCTACAACTTTCTCACCTGGCTAAAAATACTTCTTTTGGGAGGCTAAGAAAAATGTACCCATGGACAATGGACTGTAAGGGCCTGAAAGTTAGTGTGTGATGATACATGCATCAAAGCAGAAAGAGCTGGGAGGTACAATGCCAGGACATTCCTGCCTTGTACTTCGTGTGATGCTGGGGACTTCCAGGGCCTCTCAGAGCTACTCACATGATGTAGTAAATAGCATTGGTTAAATAGTACGTAGGCGTGGAAGAAAAGGCTCTACAGAGTCCTTTTTTAGTAGAAGATGGAAAGAACACTCTGGAATGGAGAACTACATTTTCTGATTGCTGCCATCTTGCTTTCTAAAGATCACAGAAGGCAAGAGTAGGATTAGATGAGCTTGGAGCATAGCACTAGTGAAGGCTGGCATGCAAGAGTACAATACCTAGGGTGGGTGCACTGGCACTTCGTTTACGATCTTCAGAGATCCCAACAACGTACACAATCACACGCAGTCCAATGGAGAGAACAAAAGGGGAGGACAATATGAAACACAGATCAGAAACTCCTCCTCATGAAACACACACAGTGGACGAGAGGCATGCACAGAGACTCCACCAGGGCTGTCAACGGGGGCTTTACTTAGGCACTATCAAAACAGATAGGAAGCTGTGTATAATGGAATCAAAAGAGAATCATAGTTTTGGTCTTTCCACTGTTTGTACCACAGGACAGAGCTTGACAGAGAAAGGCGATATATCTTCACAGTGCTAAATTAAATCCACCAAAATCTTTTGCTTACTTTTCACTCAAGTCACTCACCTTCATTTCTGAGAAACGGAAATGTATACATAAATGAACAAGGGAAGAGGTTAATCTTTTCCTTTTTCTGAAACATTAGGCTACACGTACCCAAGTTTGGTTCACTTGCTGTCCTCTTGTTACTTTTGATTTTAAAAAAGCCCCGACCAAAAGAAGATCTGACTTTTCGAGTGCCAAAAGTGTTGTCATCCACAGAGGCCTCATGGCCTGCAGCTTTGGGAGGGAGACTCCCAAACATGCTATTTTCTCCTGGAGCTTTATCCTGAGAGAGGGTGATAACAATGTAGAGTGTTAATGTGCACAGTCATCAGGACATGCTGGGCTCCACACTAATCATTAGATTGTATTATATAACTTTGTTTAAAAGAGTACTCTTATAATCCATTCTGAAAGCTACTTAAAAAAACAGCAGCAGCAACAACACATACATGTCCATCACTAATCTATAAATATATGTGTTTAGGGCTTTAAATATTTAAGACAAAAAGTCTCAAATTTTATTTGTCTCATTCCTCAAGAGACATTGACCAAAGATATATAGCTAGTAACAGCTGATTTCTTACTTTTCTAGCAATTATGATACAGAACTATAATACAATTCACATTCTTATAACTACATCAACAGAAACATAATATAATTCTATAAAACACAAATCCAAGCTTTTATATTCACAACATAAGGAGATTTTACTCCAGTTATTTTAAACATTCTTCTCAAAGAATAATAAAATGGGGCCGGGGATTTAGCTCAGTGGTTCTGCTGCCTGCTTCGCAAGTGCAAGTTCCCAAGTTCAATTGATACCAAAAAAAAATAAAATAAAATAAAATGAAGACACAACATGCAGCTGTGTATTTTGAGCTTTTTGGTGATCTGAATTGGCAATTATAGGGTTAAAGTATGTTATATTGTTTTAGTATTACCCAAAGACACTTTTGGATGCATGTTCTCATTTCTCTAATATCTCTTGCTTTTTTTTTTAAAGACAGGGTCTCTGGCCGGGGGTTTAGCTCAGTTGTTCCACTGCCTACCTTGCAAGTGCAAGGTCCCGAGTTCAATCCTCAGTACCAAAAAAAAAAAAAAAGGACAGGGTCTCTGTGTAGTGAGTGTGGTTTGCCCTCAAACTTATGGTGAGTGATCCTCCTGCCTCGGTCTCCTGCTGGGCTTACAGGCCTGCACCAGCATGCCCAGCTTTTTCTTGTTTTCAGTTTCTTTTGCAGAAGTTGAGAAAAAGGCGAGGGGAGATAGGCATATAAGGTGGTGATTTTACTCTAACTACTTACTGCTCATGGTAATTAAAGTGGATGATACAACATAGTGGTCTTATTATCTGTGTCTCAACACTGATGTCAAAATCTTTTAACCACTGATTAAACTGACAAAACAAAAAGGAACTTAATGATAGTTGTCTCCAGCATTCCTGGTTCTGCCTCCACATGAGTCAAGGGCTGAGAGCCAACAGTCAAGACGACTGTGTGTGGAAGTAGCCTATCTACCCAACTGGAACCTTTTCAAGGTCATGAATGAAAGTCATGGGAAAAAAAGAAGTGTATTGATGAAGTCTTTAAAAATACCAAGGCATCTGCCTCTGATGGACAGTGGTTGTATAAAATAAACTACTAGTCATCTACATTAAGAAGGGCTTTCTGTGAAGTTTAGGGAAGTCCAGTTACACTCATTAAGAACATCATATGGCAGGCCAGGGATTTAGCTCAGTGATTCCGCGCCCTGCCTCCCAAGCACAAGGGCCCAAGTTCGATTCCCAGTAAAAAAAAAAAAAACACATCATATGGCATGATTGTGAGTTCACGGTTTTGTTGTTTTAATAACTATGATGAAATTCACACACCATAAAAATTAACTATTTACAGTGGACAATTCAGTGGCATTTAGTATATTCACAATGTTGTACAACTACCACCTCTATCCAGTTTCAGAGTGTCTCCATCATTCTCAAGTAAAACCCACACCATCATGCATTCTTCTCTCCTCACACCACTGACTCTATGGATTATCTACGCTGGAAAGAGATGGAATCATGTAATATGTGACTTTTGTGTCTGGCTTCTTTGATAAGCATAATGTTTTGCTGGGTCTGAGATTTTTAGACTACTGGAGGCATTTAAGGAACTCACATGTAATGGAAGCAAAAAAATTTTTATATTTTAATTTGGATATTAAAGTTACCTCTGAAGGCTTCTGAATATACTCTTTTTCCTATTCAAAACAACAACAATATCTAAGGTTGTGGGCCAAGGATTTAGCTCAGTGGTTCTGCTGCGTGCCTTGCAAGCACAAGGTCCTGAGTTCGATCCCCAGTATCTGCCCCCCCAAAACAGTAATATTTAAGGTTGTTACAGGACTTCTTTGTATATGCTTAGAATCTGTCACATGCTTCCATAAATGAGAAAAAATTTACACTACTTCTAAGCTACAAAATCTTCATTTATTTCCTACTTTATTTTTTGTTTTATTAAAGGCTTCATTTTTAGTTTTATGTAATATTTTCAGTTGTTCATATCCATACATAATATTTATCATTAACCACACCATGGTAGCTAATAATTTTTCATTAAGGAAACTACAAGCTCTTACTATGAGTTTTATTTGCAAAATGGGAAGATTTGAAGATACTTAAATATTTCCTTCTTAGGATAAAAGAAGAAAAGAAAAATACAAAATCTACCCCATCTGATGTCTCTTTCTTCAGATTTCCCAGGCTGCTGGATTTTTGTAGACTTGAAGTTCTAAAAATAACAATAATTAGAATTAATAAAAAGTAGCTCTGGTGCCTCTGTTTTTAAGTGGATCATCTTAGGAAGAAACTAAATTATATGTGGATTGAATCCTGGCAATAAAAGAAAAATCTGGAATCACATAGTCATTTATGTGCTTAACTAAATTATAACATTTAGTTCTTTTAAAAGTAAGGGTGGTTAATTGTCCTGCCAATAACTTAATATCCTACACATGTTAGAATAACTGGAAAAACACTTAGGACTATCTCTGTGATGTCAATATTTAAAAATAAACCAGTATTTTCCACTGGTATATCCTTTCCAAATATACATTAGTATTCAGAAAGTTTAAATACTTCTAGACTCTTTAAATCTACTTATAATGAAAATAAAGAATAAAGGTTTTAATTTTTAATTCACAGAAATCTGAGTCTGAATCTGACAAAACAATTCATTTTATAGTTATGACCAATGCATAACAGAGGAATTCCTACTGCTACTCATAATCATTCATTTGCTATTAAGGAAGGCACAGTGATAGCATTAAATATTCAGAGACACTCTCACATAATTCAGTTATATATAGATCCCGAGATGGCTTTACTAAAAAATTGACGGCAGGACCAATTTAAAAAGAGAAAGAAGGTTGGTCATGTAGCTCAGTGGTAAAGCACATGCTTAGCAAGGCCCTGGATTTGATCCACAGCTCCGCAGACAGAGATACAGACAGAGACAGAGAAATAGAGAAAGAGAGAGAGAAATAAGTAGAGACAGAGACCATAAATATACAAACATCTAAAAGAGATTTCTTCCATATTTACATTTATATAAAAGTTGCTAGACAGTATCCACTATCAAATAAAGTAAAAAATATGGTGAAAAAAGAAACAACCTCATCTTTGAGTACTGCTTTGAAAAGAGACTTCTCTAATTTTATCCAGACTTTAACTTGGATAAACATTCAAATTATGTAAGTTTATTAAATTGAAGTAAAGAAAAAAAATCAGCTTTCCAGCCATCATATCATTCTGTGGGATTCTTTTCTGTTGGAATAAAAATGTAAGTCAAAGCTGGGCGTGGTGACACATGCCTGTAATCCCAGCAGTCTGGGAAGATGAGGCAAAAGGATCAAAAATTCTAGCCCAGCTCAGGCAATTTGGCAAGAACCTGTCTCAAGGCTAAAGATCTGCAAATACTTGGCACGAGGTAACAGTGGGTTTTTTTTGTAAACTTACAACTGTTTAATCTCACCTAGTCATGACAACTGCTTCATAAAACTGCATTAGCTATTAACTGCGTCAGTCACTGACTCAATATTGATTATTGTTAGTGAAACAGACCCTCTTTTCCCTCAAGCTCTAATCATACTTTTTGTATTTAATAATATATAACTTACAAAATACTGTCACCCAGCTGGGTTTCAACAGCAGCACCAAGGGTTATTTTTCCATCACTAAAATGTTAAAAAAAAAAAAAAAAGGTATTTATTAGGGTTATGAATAAAAGACCACACAGATGCTCCTTGACTTACAATGGTGTTAGTTTCAATAAACCCAACTTCAATTGAAAATATCACTAATTCAAAAAATGCACTTAATATGAGGCATAATCAAAGGATGGTGAATGTTAAAATTAAAAATAATTATTATAGTGAAAGACACATTGCCATTAACTCCCCTCAAAATACTCTCCCTTGCTTTGAACACACTTATCCCATCATTCTTGCCACTTGCTGAAGCAGTTCTGGAAGTCCTCTTTTGTCCCTTTAGTTGTGCTCTCGTGGCTACTGAAGTCCTGAATTGATCCAAAGGGCATGGTCATTTTGACTTTGGGGAAGAGCTAGAAGTGGCACAGTGCCAGATCCATTCATTAAAGTAGATGCAGACACACTGTAAGGTTATTTTATTGTACTGAGGATCAAACTGGGAACCTTGCGCTTGCAAAGCAGGCGGCAGAACCACTGAGCTAAATCCCCAGTCTACTGTAAGATTTTTTTTTTGGTACTGGGGATCGAACTCAGGACCTTGCACTTTTGAGGCAGGCGGTGAAACCACTGAGCTAAATCCCCGGCCCTGTAAGGTTTGGTGTTTTTTTTTGGTAGCAGGGATCGAACTCAGGACCTTGTGCTTGCGAGGCAGGCCCTGGAAATGCTGTAAGGTTTTTATATGACAGAAATTATCATAAATGTTTTGAATTGATTCAGGACATTGAGGTAGCCAAGACAGTTCAACTAAGGACATTCACAAAAGACAACTTGGAGGATTGCCTTAAAAAGTGGAAACAATGATTGGATAAGTGTGTTAAAAGCCAGGGGAAGTATTTCGAGAGGGATTAGTAGTAATGTGTCTTTTACTATAATAACTTTTAAATTTAAACACTCAACATATTTTTTTCTTCACACTTTATATACTTAACCCATCAAATGACATAGGTTAGCCTATCTTACCTTATATATACTTAGAATGCTTACATTAGTCTATAGTTGGGCAAAATTATCTAACACAAAACCTCTGTTATAATGAAGTGATCTAATTTATTAAATGTTACACTGAAAATGTAAAAAAACACAACTGTTGTAAAGTTGAAAAATTATGAGAAATTATACTGAACCATTGTAGGTTAGGCACTGTGTATATTCTAAGTGAATAGAATTGTCAAAACCAAAAAACATGTGCAAAGGAAAGTATTTCTATCTTTTAAAATTTTATTGATTTGGCTTAAAGTAAGATTAGGCAATTAATTTGGAAATATGCTGGCAAAAAAATCTATTTGCCTTGGGCCAGGGATTTAGCTCAGTGGTGCCGCCACCTGCTGCACAAGCGCAAGGTCCCGAGTTCAATCTCTGGTACCAAAAAACCTATCTATTTGCCTATACAGAAACTACTATATTGCTTTGCTGTCTCCTTCATAGTCATCTTCAAAACAGCTTTCTGGCACATGGCTGTTACTATCATGCTACAATCCTCTGATGGCCACCTATGACTTACAAAGTAAAATTCAAGTTCTTAAAAACCCCTACCTAAACTGGCTACCTCACCTCCCCAGGCTCAGGTCCCTTTATTTCCTGCTTCACATTTTCTACTTCAACAATATATTAAAGGTCCCCTTGCACATGCCTTCCTGAACATTCATATTGCAGTGTTAGACTGTGAATGACATACTTCTCTTCAAATGAAGTCTCCGGCTTAGGAGGCAATTTTGATTTTTCAGCAGTTTCCATGCCTATGGATTCTGGCAATAATGAAGGGATTGAAACTTGCAAGATGCTGGTGTGGAGCTGTAATATAATTATAGAAATAAAAAAAAAAACAACAACCCCACAGAAACACAAAACAATCAAACAAGCAAAACAAAGTAAATATAAATAAATGACAGCTGTCTTACAGGGGTGCGGTGATTTAACACTAAAGCTAAGTACAGCAATTTGTAAACAAAGCACTATTTAATTTAATTAATTTCTACCACAAGTCTAGTATGGAACATTGGCCTGGCTAATTATTATATTATGTGTGGACAAGCTGACTAATTTCAATTAACAGAACTGATGAAAAGTATAACTAAAACCAATCAATTTCAAAGTACTTTGTAGTCACCACTTGAAATACTTTGCTTAGTCATATTACAGCAACAAACAAAATGCTTAACACATTTTTCTCAAATGCTTTGTGTATTTTAAGTGTGAAAGAATTTTAATACTTGAGTTTTCAATAATGTATGACAACTGGAGAGCAACTGAATTGTGGTCCATATCAAGAAATAGTAAATCAATACTTTAAAACATATTTCAGTGAGAAAATGAACAGAAAGTCAACTGATCATTGACAATCCCTCACTTCTGAACTTGAGCCAGGTAAGGACTCATACCAGTGAACACACATTTTTTTTTCTGTCGGGGAGGGCGGGGGTGGGTGTACTGGTGGTGGATTGAATCCAAGGTCTTCACATTGAGCTATATCCCTAGTCCTTTAAAAACTTTTTTTTTTTTTTTAATTGGGAGACAGTGCTTGCTAAGTTGCTCAGGGTGGGCTTGAACTTTTGGATCCTCCTGCCTCAGCCTCCTCGAGTGCTGGGATTACAGGTGTGAGCCACCATGCTAGGCTCAGCGAACTAACTTCTATATGCCAACCAATCAGCAGGTCTCTACTTAGTAACTACACACCTGCAGGTGATTTCAACTTACTACTCCTGCCTGCCTAAGCTCTGAGTGTCCGAAAAAGTCCATATCACCAACTTGAGGAGAATGTACTTGCTAACAAAGCTTACTTGGTTAAGTAAGTAATGAATTTAGCTCTGTGATTTTTGTTTCAGTTATTGAATAGTCGTTTCTTCCTTAGATACTATAAAAGTTTATAAATGAGATGTAGTTCAATGGTAGACCTCTTGCCTAGCATGGACAAGGCTGTAGGATCAATGCCTGACACCCCTGCCCCAACAAAATGATATCAAGTATGAAAGGACAAGAAATGTGAAGTCCTATTATAAAATAGGATATGTATTTTTTTACTTTTAGGTTTTTAAAAAAATTTTTTTACTACTAGGTTTCTCAGCTCTCTTATCATTAATCCTGGACAACTGAGCCATAATACCTATTTTCTAAAGTTCATACATGTTTTTGGATTCCTAATCATGGGAAAAAAAATAACTACACTAAAAGACTGACCCATTTTCTTGATTCCTTTTTCAGACTTTAAACCTTCATTTCTATTTCACATCACTCTTCTGGCTTTTCCTTAAAAACGTGGCGGAACTTCCTCACTTCTAATCAAATCATATCTGTTCCAAAGTATAAACGTATCATTAAAATGGAATTCACAGAGCAAGGAAGTCTTCTAAGGCTGTGAGACCATCTGGGTGTGTCCTCCATGTGACAGCAACCTCTATAAACGCAGCATACTCATCGGCTGGCATGGTTTTTCCCCTTCAGTACAAGTTGGGGATTTCCCCCTTTAAATTATTTTTTATTCCTTAATCTTGTTTAACACGATATTTTAGCCCCTTCTAACATTTGTAAAAGAAATCAAATTCATTTTTCTGTGATTTGAATGTCACATTCTCAACGTGTGATCAGCAGCAGCAGATGACACAGAGTGATGACGCTCGCCCTCGGCCTCTCCTCAGCCTACAGCAAAACATGACCGGCAAGATGACCAGAGTCAAGCTGTTTAGTTGAATAAAACTACATCCCATTTGTAGCCTCTCTACAGTGATTGACAGTGAAATTGAGACATGGCTTTAGGGCAGAGAGCAAACACAGCACCAGGAAACCCAAGGTCTCAGTGAAACTGAGAGTAAGGCTGTGAAACCCTTTGTTTCGGGGTCTTTGATACTCCCCTTGAGCTCATTCTGTGCTCCAAGCTGACCTCAAACTCACACTGTCCTACTGCCATAGCTTCGCAAGTGTGAGGGTCTAAATCCTTTGTTTAGGCAAGAGAAAGACTGAGAGTAGTACTGTTACACTGAACCTTTTAAAAAGGCTAAGATTCAGTGGCTGTGGCCTTACAAGGAACCTAAGGCCAAGGCTTACCGTAAAGATAGGTGTGGATGTGCTCTTAGCTAATGGAGTAGATTACACAGGGATTCATATGAAATTTCAAATGTTTAAAGTATTATACCAAATCAGGTACAGAAGAGCAGAGGTAGTAGAAAATGAAAAGGTGGCTTTGAATCTCTACGGTATTTTTACAGGCATGAAGCTGAGGAAAATACTCATCTGCAAATACTTGAGGGAAAAGGCAAGAGGACTTCGGAGGAAGTACACAGGATCTGGTGTGCTAGGGCCCTTGTATAGGAACTGGCAACAGGAGTCATCTTCACTTAGGAAATGCTACACACTAGGGGCACTTGAGAGTTTTCCATTTTCCCTCTTCTTTACCAGAAGTTCCTATAGCAGCTACACAATGTCTTTGCCAGCACTGTGTGTTGGGTATGGCAGACAGATAATGTGTCCTTAAGTTTCCAGCTCTTTAAACTGATTGGAGTGATAGTCAAGAAACTGCCCCCAAAATTGCACTTGAGCAGCTTCACATGCATCTTGATCTCAACTGGATTGGATCCTGGAAGGTTGGTGCCATACTGGAATAAAATTTGGGGGTGTTTGGAGAGGAGCTGACCGTATTTTTCATGGGACAGAGATGTAAACTGTTACAGCAAAGTGTTTGATGGAGCAGCAGACTAATTTTTCCAAGTATGGTTGCACCAATATATCCCACTGCTCAGGTTCTTACAATGTGGAGCTGCCACTTGTCTATTAAGAGGTAGAGTTAGGGCTGGGGATTTAGCTCATTGCCTCACAAGCAGAAGTTCAATCCCTGGTACCAAAAAAAAAGAGGTAAGGGTCAATATCCCCCTCCTTGAATCTGGGTCAGGCTCTGGCCATAGCAGAAGGGATGTTGTGTGACTTCTGAGATAAGTCAGGAAGGATACCTGTCCTCTTGGACAGTTTGATGCAATGTAAATGAGTTTAAGACTGCTTACTGCCTTCCAGTTTAAGTAAGCCAAAGAGAAATTTTATTCAATCATCTTTTGGTGTCACCATCAGAAATGACTAAAATGTATTTACTTATATAATCTCATTTTACCTTCCTCTACTTATTCTTCAATAAATATATTATCATCTTGCATTTAAGATGATATGTACCTTCACATTTATATGTTTTTCCCGAAAAGAGTGTTATTGGTTTTTTTTGGAAACAGGCTGGCCTTGAACTCCTGGACTCAAGTGATCCTCTGGTCTAAGGCTCTCAAGTAGCTGAGACCACAGGTGCATGCCACCACCATGCCTAGCTTGTTTTTCCTGAATTTTGTAAGAATTTTGACATTGCTTAAAGCATTTGTTAAAGACAGGGGGACAATACACATTTTAAAAAGCAGCAGGGGAGTGAATGAGCCAGAGACCTGGAGGACACAAAAACTGCCAGAACAAACCAAATGAAAACTGAGGGAAAAAAACATGCACTCATATCATTAACGATGTTTGAACTTTCAATGATACAGACTCTTTAACAAGAAGAAAACACTGGCATTCTGTACAGACCTCTTCTGGAATACTTGTGTTGAATGGGTCATGGCTGGGAGATGCCGTTACTGGAGAAGTGGATGGACTTTTTTCCAGATCACTAAAGCCCTGTGTATCCAACAAAGTGGAGATGGGACTGGAATTGAACAGGTCTTCATATTCACCATCTCTGCCTAGAAAACAATAAGGCAAAAACAAGACAACAATAGTTTTTTACGTTTTTCTTCTGGAAGAAAATAATCCTAATTACATCAAACATAAAACATTTTCCTTTGGCCAGGCATGGTGGCACATGCCTGTAATCCTAGCACTCAGGAGACACAGTGAGGTAGGAGGATCACTATGAGTTTGACGCTAGCTTGAACTACAGAGCAAGACCTTGTCTCAAAAAAACAAAAACCAAAACAAAACCACAAAAAACTCCAAATATTTTCTTTTTGGGGGAAATAGTAGGAGGTGCTAGGAATTGAGCCCAGGGCCTCATGCATGCTTACCACGTGTTCTAACTACTGATCTATATATACCCCAAGTCCTCCAGAAGAGTCAGCTTTTTCTGGCATCACTTGAAAATGTGGGACACCTAAGAAACAGCAGTTAAAATCTGAGCAACTAGGGCCCAAGACTTCTGGGCCACAGAGTCCCCAACAGTGGTATTCACAGACAAAGTCATATTTGGTGGGATTATTGACTCACAAGATTTGAAAACAACTTTAAAGGTAATTTATTTCAACAAAACCTCATGTACATTTAAAAAACTTGGGGCTTTATAAATTTTAGTTTAGGAAAAGCCAAGCTGCAGAATACCTGGTACAACAAACTAATTCTGAATAGCAACAAGAATCACCATTTAGATACCTTACTTTTTATCACTGCTGTGCTCTGGAAAATACACAAAAGGAAAATAGGGGGGAAAAAAAAGATGAATGACTTTTGATCCCTCAAAAGAAGCCTTTCTGCCACTTTAAAGCAAAAAGAACAATCTACCAGTGAAAAGTTACTATATATTCAGCAAAGCAGCAATTTTGAGAATTTTTTTTATACCTGCAGAAATGAAAAGGATTAATTTGTCAAGTCTTTTTTTAAAAAGTAGAAAGAGTCGGGCCAGGGATTTAGCTCAGTGGTTCCGGCGCCTGCCTCAAAAGCGCAAGGTCCTGAGTTCGATCCCCGGTACCAAAAAAAGAAAAAAAAAGTAGAAAGAGTGATTAAAACTTTTGTTGTGTTGTTGTTTGTTTTTGAGACAGGGTCTTGCTATGTAGTGTAAGCCAGCTTTGAACTTCCTATGTAACCCAGGCTGGCCTTGAACTCATCATCCTTCTGCCTCAGCCTCCTGAGATACCTAAGTAAAGATAGCCAGGAGGGCCAGGGATTTAGCTCAGTGATTCCCAGGGCCGCCTGCCTCGAAAGTACAAGGTCCTGAGTTCAATCACCAGTACCAAAAACAAACAAAACAAAACAAACAAACAAACAAAAGATAGCCAGGCACAGTGACTCATGTCTGTAATTCCCACACATGGAGAGGTTGGAGCAGGAGGATAGCAACAACACTGAGCTATATACTCAGCCCTTTTTTACTTTGAGACAGGGTCTTGCCTAGTCCCTAAAGCCTTAGTCCCCAGGCTAAGTGTTGTATCTTCACTTAGGTGTCTTCTAGGAGTTTTTGAATTTTCCGTGTTCAGAGAGAACTCATCTTTTTAGCCATCCCAATGCTCGCTCTTCCCTTCCTTCCTTCCTTCCTCCCTCCCTCCCTTTCCCTTGTCCTTGTCCTTTCTTTCCTTTCTTTCGTACTGGGGATCAAACTCAGGTCCTGGCACTTGCGCAGCAGGCAGCGAAACCACTGAGCTAAATCCCCGACCCCCAGTGTTCTTTCTTTAGGCTTCTCCATCTCAGTCAATGGAACCATCACCTGCCAAGTTGCTGGAGTACAAAAATGTCTTTCTTGATAGTGTTCCTCTTCCTCATTCTCCTTCTCTAACTCATCTCACCACCGTGTTGATCCTAAACATTACGGTCAGACTTGGTTCCTCCAGATCTTTTCACTTGGAATATTGTAAGCATCTTGATTTGTTTCCCCTGCTCCGAATACTGCTCTTTCCTGTGTTCTATTTGTTACAAAGATTGTGTTGTAGGCTTGTTAAAACCCTTCAGTGGATTCCTTCACACCTGAACAAGAGCTGAACACCTCACCTTCCATGACTGATGCAATGAATCCACTGCTCATATCGGTGCACCTCACTCTCCCTGCTCCTCACTGCCGTCCAGGTGCACTGGTCTTTTTCTACTTCTTAAACACACCAACTTCTTTTTGTTTCTCCTGGTTCATGCTCATGCTGTTGGTCTCTGTCTAGAATGCCACCTAATCCTATGATATTCTCACACTTTCTAGCAGAGAACAGCTGCTTTAACAACATTGTTTAACAAAGGAATGTGCTACCTAATGTGGAATAACGAGCATGCAAGAAATTTGGGCCAATGTAAGGTCACTGCCACTTTGAATCAAGTAAAGTAGAAAAGTCTGCCAGGTATGGGATGCATACCCATAATCTCATCTGCTAAGGAAGCTGAAGCAGGATGGCAACTCTGCGAGACTCTGTCTCGAAACAAAATAAAAAAGGCTGAGGATGTAGCTCAGTGGTAGAGTTATTGCTTAGCATATGCAAGGTCCTGGATTCAATGCCCAGCAGTAAAGCAAGAAAAAAAAAAAGGAAAGTGTTTAGTGCTACCTTTTTTACCTTGAGGGAGTACCACTGTGTCTTGCATTTTCTTGTACTTGTTCAGGCACTGTCGGAGATCTTCTATTTTCTGGTCCTATGAATAAAATAAATTATCATACTTAATACTACGATTTTAAAACAGTAAAGGTAAGTGTGACAGAATAAGCAGATGTGAATTATTTACATTATTCAAATAATACTTCTAAACTTTAGTAAAACTGGTAACATCTAGAATATTTTTCTATGTGCATGAGATACAGAAAAAGTACATCTGAATTTAGAGATCCTATCATTTAGCTGCCATCTTAAAAAACCAAAACAATGCATTAAGATAGAAAAAAAAATAAATCAGCTTTATTTACTATCCTAATTTATAAATCTGGAAAGATCTATATCTGGTATCTTCATTAGCCATGTTAGTCATTATCTAGCTTGTCTTCTCAAGGCTATCACCAAGTTGCTTTGATTAGTCATCACAGTCCTCTTCACTATTAAAAACACCTTTCATCCTCTCTACTTTCATCTCTGTACTGTTACTCTACGCCCCCACACACACTCCTTCTTTCACTTCTGTCTTTTTGAGACAGGGTCTAGCTATGGAGTTCAGGCTGGCCTTGAACTCACTGAGATTCCTCCATCAGTCTCCTCAGCCTCCCAAGTGCTGGGAAATAAAAGACCTTTACATTGAAAATTACAGGATTCTGAAAAAGGAGACTGAAGGAGATATTAGAAAATGGAAAGATATCCCTTGTTCTTGGGTAGGAATATAGTGAAAAGGGCCATAGTTCCAAAATTGTTATACAGATTTAATGCAATCCTGATCAAAATACCAATAGCCTATCTCACAGAATTAGAGAAAACAATCCTAAAATTCATTTGGAACCAGAAGAGATCTAGGATAGCAAAAGCAATTCTAGGCAACAAAGGCAAAGCCACAGGGATCACAATCCCTTACTTGAAATTATACTACAAAGCTACTATGATAAAAACAGCATGCTATTGGCAAAAAACAGACCCGAGGATCAATGAGACAGACTGGAAGATGAAGAAAAAACTCAAGACATAACCAACTACTTAGCTTTGACAAAGGAGCCAAACACCTTCACTGGAAGGTGTTTATTTATTTATTTAGATACCAGGGATGGACCTCCTGACCTTGGGCCTGCAAGGCAGGTGGCGGCACCACTGAGCTAAATCCCTGGCCCCAGCCTTTTTAATAAATGGTGCTGGAACAACGGGCTTTCCATATGATGAAGTTTAAAACTAGATCCATACCTTTTACCATCCTCTGAACTAAAATCAAAATGGAGCAAAGATCTAAATATTAAAACAGAAACACTAAATCTACTGAAAAATAAAATAGGTAGAACTCTTGAAGATGTTGTAGGCAAAGATTTTATGAACAAAACCCCAATCGCACAGGAAATATCATAAAGAATCAACAACTGGAATCTCTCTCATCTTATTAAAAAGCTTTTGCAACGCAGCAGAAGAAACTGCCACTGAGTGAAGACAACACACAGTGTGGGAAAAAAATTTTGCCAGCCATTCCTCAGACAAAGAACTAATATCTAGAATAAAGAACTGAAAACAAAAAACAAACAAAAAACCCACCTCAGACCACCAACCCAATTTAAAAATTGGCATCTGAAATATGAATAGCCATTTCTCAGATGAAATAGTAGAAACGGGAAATAAATACATGAAAAAATGTTCACTATCACTGATCATTCAAGAGATGCAAATTAAAACAATGCTGAGATTCCATCCCACTCCAGAAAGAATGGTGATTCTAAAGAAATTAACCAATAACAAATGCTGACAGGGATGTGGGGTAAAAAGAACCCTTCTCCACTACTGGCAGGAGTGTAGACAGGTGCAACCACTATGGAAATCAGTGTGGAGATTCCTAAAAAAACTAAGACTAGAGGTTCCATTCGACCTAGCTCTTCTTTTTGGTATCTTCTTGAAAGAGTTAAAAGCATCATGGCCGGGGATTTAACACTGGCAGGCACAAGGTCCTGAGTTTGATCCCCAGTACCACAAAAAAAATCCAAAAAGAATTAAAAGCATCATACCACAGCAACATAAGTACACCCATGTTTACAATGGCACAGTCTGCAATAGCTAAATCTTGGAAACAACCCAAATGCCCACCAACCAATGAATGAATATAGAAGATCCAGGTTTTGTTACACAAGGGAGTACTACTCTGCCATAGAAAAGCATAAGCTCAAAAGAAAAAAAAAAACAAGAAAAGGATAAGCTCAAGACATTTTTAGCTAAATGGATGCAGCTTGAGATCATATTCTTTTTTTTTTTTTTTTTTGGTACCAGGGATAGAACTCGGCACCTTGCGGTTGCAAGGCAGGTGGAGGCACCACTGAGCTAAATTCCCAGCCCTTGAGACCATATTCCTAAGTGAAATAAATCAGACATACATGTTCAAATATCACATGGCCTCTCTGGTGTGAAAAACCAAAAAGTGTAAATAAGGACCAAAATGTGTAACAGATATTCGGAAATGGGAAGAAAACGCTCAGATAAGAAGGGGAATAAGGGAGAGTGAAAGGGGACAGGAAAGAGACAAGAAAAAAAAAGAATAAAAGGAAAAATGGTAACAAAGCTTTTGTAAATAAAGTGGGGAATGGGGGTTGAAAGGAGGGGAATGGGAAAAAAAAAACAAGATACATCATATACAGGTACAAATTCCCTATTTTGGATGCTATCATTATGTATATCTAAAAAGTACCAATAAAATAAAGAGGAAAAAAGGAAATAAAAGTTATAGCAGGTAACGTTTGCTAATTTCTTTTTATTCAATAGTGGGAAAGACTAGCAAAAAGTATAACATGGGCAAGTGAATATAACAGTGAGTTTTTTGTTTTTAATAAAGAAAAGCAAATGAGACAAGCACAACATGGAAAAATTAAAGAAAATTACAATGAGAGAAATAGATCAAGCCAAGTTCTTTCTTGAATTTACTCTTTCCTTGGGAAAATGACACTTTGCTCTATTCATTAAAGGATGTGCAGGGAAAGTGGTCCTGATGACAAACTGAACCTGACTGCTCCTGTTGGCTACATGCATGTAATACAGGTAGAACAATGGGAGCTGAGGAAATGGCTCCCTTCCTCATCGACTTAAGCTCAGGTGGTAGCCTAGGACCATTCTTCTCTAATCACTCCCCTTCACTCACGTGAGGTCAGGAAGGACCCTAGAAGCACTCTACAGAACCCCAGACCAAAGCACACACAGCCCCTTTTTTTCTCTCTTGCTCTCAAGCTTGAAGGCCTGATTTGTCTGCATGGTGTGCAGTGTTCCCTTTCTGTTGTTGTTCCAGCACCATTTTGCTGTTCATGACCTTCAAATGTAGCTGCTTGCCCCTCACCATCAGGTGCAGAGCTCTACAGTTCTTTGCTTGCTCTGCACAAGAGCTTGGCATCTACTTGTTGGATCCACCACACATTTGGTGAGTCAGCCAGGAGACAAAGACATCAGCAGACTTCACTAGACGTGGGAAAAATCAACAGCCTGGAGATCTCATCAGACATGAGCCAGCAGTTACCAGAGAGCAGCCAGAAGCCCAGCCAGAAAGGAAGGTAATGGGGACGCTTTCTTTCTTCTTCTTTTTACAAGTGCCCTTTGGAACATGCTTATCGGGTGCATGGGATAGATTCCCAGGATAAACAACTGCTATGGTCACCATTTAGAGACGACCAGATTGTGGAGCAAAAGGCTTTGGCCTATGCAGGGGCCAGGAGGGCTCCCACACATCAGGTAGGTATGTTTATGTGACCCCCCCTTTTGTGTCAGTCCTTGTGGTATGGGGGTTCCCTTTAAGTAGCTGTGGTTTCCCACACCCCTACAGAGATGTAGCTGAGCTGAGCAGAAGTGAGGCCATTGGCTTACATGTGTCCTGGGCCCCTGGAGCTGGCTAGGGGTGGGATGTGGATACTTTGGCTTGGACAGAGCCTTCCAAGCCTACTTACTTGATGTTTCATCTGGAACTGGGAGGCATGGGCCCAGTCCACCTAATGTTACTGCTTTTTTGTGTAGACTTGAGCAGCCACTCACCATAGCCCCAATGATGTTTGTGAACTCCTGTGAGTTGTAGACTCACAAGGAGCAAGGGCTCTTTATTATAGTTTGTTTTCTTTCTCTCCCTCCCTTAAGAGACCCCCCCACCCTCTACTCAGGCTTTTGTCTACCAGAGAATTTAAATTATTTGGCTTTTTGGTGCTGAATAACACAAGAAACAGAGTTGGAAAGTACAGTGCTTCCTCAGGCAGGAAAAAGAAATTTGTGCATTTTATGTTCTTGTGCTCTGGGATTACTTCTCTAATGCTAGTCCTTTCTCCCCATTCTACTTGGTTTTGCTTTAGTTGTTACAACTGTGGTCTCAAATATATGTCCTTATATATAAAGATGTGTAACTTCTGTTTGTGAACTGAATTTTTACCTTGTTCACTTTTACTTTGTGGTTTTGTCACCAGACGTGAATGCTTTGTAGCTTGATTTAGGGAGATAAATGTTTTTGGAGAGACATTTTATTCTCGGTTCTTAGACTGTTAGATAGTGAGATATCATCTGTGAAAGTGCTCATTTCCCTGCCAAAGGGCGAGAGCCACATTTTCAGAAAATTGTTGAGGTTTTGGGGGTTCTACTGAGTAAAGTGCTTGTCATCTCTCCCTAGACAGGATGTTAGGTGGTTTTATAATTGGCTAAGAGGCATCTAGCCAGTAAGGCATCCCAGTTCCTGGGCTCTCTGACCAGATGACTTGTGTTTATAGGAGGAAGCGCAATAGGTTGAAAGGAAGTGGCACTAGTGGCTCACCACACACTCAGGATCTTCCAGGGATGGCCTTGTAATAGCCCAATTAAAGGGTTGGGGATTAACCCAGGGACAGAGCTGTGAGGATCACACAACTAAATTTCTAATCCTCCTACCTAGTCCCATCATGGGAAATGCCTCATCTATTCCTTCTGATGCCTCCTCAGCCAATGGAACAGTTACAGCTCATGGTTCTCCAGAAGAATCATCATATAATCTTGTGCAATAAAAAATGGGCTATGTTTCCACTTGGACAAAACAAGATGTAGCCGGTAGTGGGGGATTTAGCTCAGTGGTTCCGGCCCCTGCCGTGTAAGCGCAAGGTCCCAAGTTCGATCCCCAGTACCAAAAAAACCCAAAACAAAACAAAAAAGCAAGATGTAGCCACCCTTTGGCAGCCTAAAACTTAATGCTATATTTCCACTATTTCTTTACTGTAAGAAACAGAAAAAATGGTCAGAGATACCTTACATTCAAGCTTTTATGGCCCTCTACTAGAGGCCTGATCTTTGCCCTGGAACTAATCCTCTTAGGAGCTGAAGCTGCTGAGGACTCCCTCCAGCCAGCTCCTCCTCCCCACAGGCTACCTCCTCATTGGCCTGCTGAGCCAGCACCCTCAGGAGATAAAGGCCATCTCCTAAGGCCACCTCATATTAGGTCTGGGTCTGCCTATCACAGAACCCGGGATTCAGGGAACTCAACCTCTAAGCCAGCCACTGCTCTATGGCTTTCATAAGTCTCTTTTTCAGTTGCAGGCATTCAGCAATTCAAGGAAAAATGGTTGATTCTCTGAGAACTGTGAAGATTTCCTGATGGTTTCCATACCGTAACAGTGGCTTTTGATCTGACCTGGCAAGATGTACAATTCACCCTAGTTTCTTGGTGCACAGCAGTAGAAAGAGAAAGGATTATAAGAGCTCCTAAGTGGCTGATGAAGCCTTTGCAGCTTCACCCTCTGATAATCAGCCAACTGCTGTGCTATTTGGACTCTGAGGGATCCAAGTAGGATTATAACATAGGAGGTGGAGAAGCCAAATGAAAGTTATACATCAAGGCCATTTTAATGGGTATGTAATAAAGGATGCCCAAACCTGTGAATTCAGACAAGCTCAGGTCTATCAATCAAGGCTCTGATGAAAATCAAGTTGCTTTTTAGCTCTGGTTTGAAAAGGCATTCCATAAATACATGAATTTAGACCTGGAGTCTACAGAAGGTCAGAGTATGCTAGGACAGTACTTTATTAGTCAGATCCAGATATTAGAAGGAAGCTCCTGAAACTCCCAACAGGGGCCACAAGCAGGGACATGTCAACTGGTCAAGGTGGCTTACTTAAGTCTTTAATAAAGCTGATGAAAGAGAAAGCAAATGAGAGTTGAATAATGAAAAGAGACAGGTTAAAGCCATGCTTGCTGTAATAGATAAGGCTCCAGCCTGCAGCATGAGGAGAAACCAAGGTAATCCAAAGAGTGATGGAACCAAGTCAGAGTGCTTCAAGTGCATGCAACTGGGGCATAGGGAAAAGGAATGACTTCTGAAGCACCCAAATTCTTGCCAGGCCTGTCAGAGCATGGGTGAAGGCCGTTGGCAATGGAAGAGGGACTGCCTTGTTTCCAAAGAGGGATGAGGTCATCCACCATCACAGTAGCTGGGGAAGAATGTCTGGATAGTGAATGATAGTCTGGAGGCAGCCTGCATGGCTCCCCATTAGCGTATTTTCATGGCTTTACAAGAACCTCAAGTGACTCTAGAAGTAGTGGGAAACATTTCTTTGCAAATGCTGGGGTGACTTATTCTAGTTTCTTATTTGGGTGAGCTTTCATTCTGTTCTAAAGTTGTTGTGTGCCTTGAAGGAGTTAACTGGACAGCTTTATTTATCCCACTCTAAGGTGCTGTTTAGATTTCCTTTTCCAAGCTGCCTTTATGGTGATACTGGAGTGTTCCATACCAGTAATTGGAAGAGATATACTCTTCCTTCTCAGGGGCATTCTAACATTCAAACCTCTGGTAGCCCATGTCCTAGTTCCTAGGGTCCAGTCAGCCTGACCCCATGGGGCCCAATGTCTCTGCCAGGAGTTGATCCCCAAGCATATGATGGCACCCCTGGGAGGGCCATCAAGGCCACTCGCACAGTCATTCAGCTAAATGACCATAAAATCTGTATCCTCACAGAAGATATTATCACTTTAAGAAGGAAGTTAGGCAAGGGCTAAAGCCCATTATTGATAAGCTTTCGGCTACAAAGTTACTGGTGCTAGGCCAGTCCCCATGCAATATACCCATTTTGCCAATAGTGGAGCCATCAGGAGAATATCACTTAGTACAAGATCCCAGAGCCATCAATGAGGCTGTGGGGTTAGTGGCAGGCCCCTATACCCTTTTAGCACAGATCCCTTGAGACACTAAATTGCTCTCTGTCCTTGATCTCAAAGACACCTTCTTCTCTATCCTTGTGCATCCTAACTCCCAATACTGGTTTGGCTTTAAATGGAGAGGCCTTATACAATGGCCTTCTGCCACTGAGGTACAAGGAATTGATAGCTGGGATTCACTTCTACACCTGAGACACCAGAAAATGAAGAGGGGAAACACAAACCTCATACACTTATGAGCCAGTGGGTGACTTCGTTTCTTTTCAGAAAAGAAAACACCAATCAACCCATTGGACCTGATAAGTAAACCTACTCTCTGTTTGCCACACTTGAGTCCCAAGTTATAACATGACTTTTTTTTTTCTGTTTCTTTTAAGATCCTCCTGGATGATTCAAAAACTGTCTCTAACAGGGAAAATGAACAGTGATACAAAACGTTAAAACTAATCACATCTTTTCCTCATCAACAACAGTTACCTACGAACTTGACAGACAGCTTAGGCCAGTGATGGGAACCTTTTAGAGATGAGTGCCCAAACTACAACCCAAAACCCATTTATTTACCTCAAAGTGCCAACAGTGCAATTAAACCCAAATACTGAGGTAAGAGTTTAGAAAAAACAACTCATACATTAACATCTTTTGTCTTAAAAAAAAAAACAACACATGTGCCCTAGGTTCCCCATCACTGGCCTGAGCAAACTTGTCCAGTGTATTGAGGTCCTTTCAAGAGATTCACTAGCAGTGGTGGTCATACAACATTGTGGAGGAAAACAGAGGGACTATATTTATCTGTAAAAGAATACAGTTTTTATGTTAATCAGTCTAAAACAGTAAAAGATACAGCACAGGAGCTGGCTGACCATGCTTCTAAAATCTGTGAGGAACTGTCTGAGTTATAAACATCCTGGCCAAATATCTGGAATTGGGGGACTTGGTTCAAGTCCTGGACATGGCTTTATTAATGCTTTTTGTAATCTTACTGTTTTGATCTTACATATTTAATCTCTTGGTTAAATTTGTCTTTTCTTGTATGACAGCTGTTAAACTACTGGTAATGGCCCACGCTTAAGATCAAAACCCACTTCCATATTCATGACTCATCAACAAACTCTTGGAGGCCAGGTGTGGTGGCATGCCTGCAATCCTAGTACTCTGGAGGCTGAGGCAGGAGGATCCCCATGAGTTCAGACCAGCCTGGGCTACACAGTGAGTTCAACGGCTACACAACAAGATGCTGTCTCAAAACAAAACAAAACAAAACAACACAACCCAGGGAGGAAGAATCTCGATCCCTTGATCTCTTCAGTAGGGCAAAAGTTCCTTGGTCCCCACATAGGTAGGGACACTGCCTCTACTGAGCAGGAAGTAGCCAAGGAAAACGGACCTTCTTCCTTCAGCATCCCTCAACGGTTTTCGGGGACCAGGTCTCTCAGGGAGGAATAATACAGGTAGAACATTGGGAACTGAAGAAATCACTCCCCTCCCCACCCACTCAGGCTTGGCTGGTACCTTAGGGCCATTCCTCCCTAATCACTCCTCTCCATCCATTTGAGCTCAGGCAGCACCCTAGGAGCACTCTATATAATCCCAGACCAAAGGATACATGTGACCCCTTTTTACCCTCTTGCTCTTGAGCCCAACGGCCTGATTTGTCTGCATGGCATCCAGTGCTCCTTTTCTGTCATTCTAGCATCATTTCTCTGCTCATGGCTGTCAATAAATGCAGTTGCTTTTCTTTCATCATTGGATGTACATTTTGCAATTCTTTGCTGGCTGTACAGAAGAGCTTGGAATCTATCTGTTGAATCTACGACACAGTAACACATGGATGGCCATGGAGGCCAGCAAGAAATATGTTGCCTTGTAGAGCAACTCTCTGCTCTTGGCAGGATGAAATATCAGATATGTGTGAGAAGGAGGAATGACCCCTGGAGACACAGATTGCTTAGACAATATATTAAAAGCACACATGAGAACCACACATGGTTTCATGGAGCCTGTGCCTTTGTTTTCTGTTATTTCACCTCTCAAGAGGGGAGAGACAATTCCAGATGGAAAGGAGGCCAGGATTATAAAGGAAGTAATATAAAGATGAAAATCAACATGGATTTGTCCAGCATTTCCAGGATGCACTATGGAAACTTCTTTTTCCCACTTGTCAACCGAATATACAGAATGCCTCTGATTGTTTGAACACTGAATATTTTCTAAATTCATGGGAGAAGTGGGGAAGGATTCTTAGTGGAGCAGGTTGGCATTTCTATGCTCACAGCTACAATCACAACCAGCATCACTGAGACTATGTACACTTGGGCAGGGAGAGAATGCTGCCTCTTACCATCAGTAGTTTTGGATATACTTTCAAACCAGGGGGTTGCATGCAATTGTCAAAATGGTGTTAGAAAAAAAATCCACACAGGCTGGGCATGGAGGTGCACACCTGTAATCCCAAGTGCTCGGGAGGCTAAAGCAGGAGCAGCACTTTGAGTTCAAGGCCAGCCTGGGGCACATAGTGAATTCAAGGCAGGCCTGTACTACATAGCAAGACCTTGTCTTAAAACAAAAACAAAAACAAAACCCCCAAACCCCACATAAATATTTGAATTTCATCTGATACCTTTTCTTCATTTGCTGCCATCAAAGATTCCACAGCCTTTTTCATTTTTTGTACTTCAATATCTGAAAATAATACATCAAATCATAAATCAATTTAATGTGTACAAGATACTCTTCAGACTGAAAAGGCTTAAGGTAAAATATTAATGATTTTTAAAAGGGGCACATTAAGCATCCCATACACTCTTAGAGACTTTCTAAAAGATAAACACCTCTTATCTGTCCCAACAGTTGTCATTCTAAGAAAGAAAATAGGAGCTACTATCCTCCCTCACAGCAACATTTTCATACTGAAGATCATAACACTGAAGATCAAACCCGGGCCCCTGTAAACATAAAAGCACAGGTGTTTCTTTTTCTTTCTTTCTTTCTTTTTTTTTTTTTTAATAAAAGGAAGCTATAAAGTAGTTTATGAAAGTAATGAATGGTACACATAATGACCAAAGCAGAGAGAATGATACTCAGTTATAACCAAGAAGGAGACAGGAGTGGGAAGAGCCTGATGGAGTGTGCCATTTACATGAGTAGTCATGCTCAGAAGCTGTGTGTAGGTTCCACATAGAAGGATAAGTACTTTGCTTCATCTACAAACTTCATTTCTCACACTAGTTTAAAACAGATTTCAAGACATAAAGGCTAAAGTAAGCTGAGGTAATTTTTCCTAAAATTTGATATGCAAATACAAAAACCATGTTACTTGAATAAGAAACTAATATATTTTAAAGATGGAAAGTTCAACCAAAAGTGAAACTACAAATTTAAAAAATTAAAAATATTTACCTAGTTACATGCTTCTGAGAAAAAACACTACTATATATAATTTTTAAAACAATGCAGTTGACACTGACAACATTTTAAATTAGGAATGGTATCCTTCCTTCCTTCCTTCCTTCCTCTTGCAAATACCTTTGACTTAATAATTCAATGTCTGGGCGAAAAAATTCATTAAAGATTTATCTTTGTGTGTCATAAGCAATCCAGGCTCCATGAATCAGCCTAGATAAAATTTCTTTTATTAACCTCAGGAGGTTATAGAGAAGCATCTAATATAGATCTCAACCACACGGACTTCAAAGCATGAAAAAGCAAAAGCAAAGTTCAAAAGGATCTTCCAATGGTGGTAAATCTTAAACAGTGTGTTTTATGCTGGGCATGGTGGTGCATTCCTGTAATCCCAGCACTTGGAAGGCTGAGGCAGGAGGACTGCCATGAGTTTGAGGCCAGCCTGGACTACACAGTGAGACCCTATTTAAAAAAAAACCCAAGCAAATTAAACAGTATATTTTTGTAATAGTGTAAATGCTATTTTCTCCTCTTCCCTGCATCATTACAGAAAGCACTTATGATCTCCACCTCCATTTGCTCTATTGTATCCTGTGAAGCAAGAGGGCTTGAATAAGGCAAAATTTTTGTAACGACTTTCCCCTCTTGTTTTTGTCTGTCTAGCCTCTGTTTTGTACACTCTGAAGAAATGGAGGGCTTATTGATGAAGCAACTATACATTTTTGATGAGAGAAATGTTTTAAAACACATGCAATGAACAAGGTAGTACTTCTGGTGAACGTAAAGGCTGATGGAAGTACACCAAAAACCTTACTTTTTTCTTTGAGCTTCTTTTTAAAATTTTCATCTGTGCAGAAAAATCCATTGAATTGGAAGTTAGCACACATAACATAAAATATTATCTCCTTTTATCTAAAGGGAGTCTAACTTCATAAAAACAGAATATAAAGCACTATTTTGTGACTTCAGGATAAATAATGCTTTACGTGACATGTGAAGGAAAATGTACTGTAACTGATGAGACCTAAATTCAAGTTACTGCCTCTGGTCTTATCTTTCTGAACCTTGACTTTTTTCATATGAAAATCAGGCATACAAGCACTGTGTCTTACATCATGTGTGATGAAAAACTAGATAATATTTCTTTGGTAGTTTCTTGTTTTTGTTATTTTTTGGTACCGGGGAATCAAACTCGGGTCCTTGCGCTTGCGTAGCAGGTGTTGAAACCACTGAGCTAAATCCCTGGCCCTCTTTGGTAGTTTCTTACATTTCTGTCAGTTCAATCGTTGGTCCTCTGGAACGTGACTAGTATAATGCTGTGTCCAATCCAACTCACCACTCAGGTTCAACAACACCAAAATAGTCTATCTCATGTTCAGTGAGATGAGCCCATGGATGAGACAGTTGGATGTGCCAATAACAGATTGCCACAAAGTCTCTAAACACTTGCTCTCAATCCCCTGCACTTATCTGCTTGTATATTGTAGTTCAACAGATTGGTTCCAGTCCTCAAACCAGTCTGAGCACACTACTCTAATAAATCCTCTTGCCCACAAGTCCTTGCATCCTATTTTATTCTTAAAACTCTAAAGTAGGGGTGGAGGTGTAGCTCAGTGGCAGAACTTGAGCTTAGCACATGTGGGACACTGGGTTAAACTTCCAGCATGCCTCCCCTGGAGCCCCAATCATGGTCGATGTCTCAATGTTCTTTAATAATATTCTATGTATGCCAAAATACAGGGGGAAAAATAGATCTCTCAGGATTTGACAAATTGAGTTTTCGGATGGACAGGGAATTGTGATCTGTACTGGTACACAAAGCCATGATATTCTAGAGTGAAGAAACTTTAGAGGTAATTTAATTCAAATTCCTCCTTGTAGAAACAACAATAATGTTACTCATTTTCATATAACAAATAAAAATGAACCAAAGCTACAATAACTGGAATCTGTTCCATTTCAAATGAGTCAGAAATTGCTTTTAGTGCTTCAAGTCACTTGCAATCACAAAGACAACCTTGCATTGTCAGATGTTATATATATTATATTTTCAAACAGCGCTTTTGAAAAAGCACATTTCCTTCAGTCAGGCATGATGACACATGCCTGGAATCCCAGCACTCTGGGAGGCTGAGACAGGAGGATCCTAAGTTTGAGCCCAGCCTGGGCAACTCAGCAACTTGATGGCACCTTATCTCAAAAGAAAAAAAAGGGTGGGGACATAGCTCAGTGTGAATGCCGGGGGTTTATCTGCCAGTATGGAAAAAAAAAATTCAATTATTTTCTTCCCATTCTTTTTTTTTTTTGGTACCGGGGATTGAACTCGGGACCTTTCGCTTTTAAGGCAGGCTGCAGAACCACTGAGCTAAATCCCCAGTCCTAATTATTTTCTATCTTATATAACATTATTAATCATGGGCCATGCAATTATATACAAAAATTCTCCTTAGTTATGAAAAAATTTGCATCAATTAATATATTTAAAGACAGATTAAGCCCACACTTTTGCTCTCTAAAATGTTGATGGCTCAACCACGATAAGAAATTTTCTTGATTTTCCATGCTTGCAGGAAAAGTTTCTAAATCCATTACTTTATTACTTTGTCTTAAGTTCTCCAGAAAGAAGCAATCGTGGAACATAGCAATGGCTCCTGTTTATCCTTTGACTTCTTTTTTATTGTAATTTGGACAAATACATTTCTAGTGATAAAAAAACCACAATTTAGCAATGCAAAATGAATTCTAATAAAATACAAAAAGGCCCTTTTCTAGATGCTCCAAGAGCAGCTCACAAATTCCTTGTCACAGTATAGTTGAGAATTGGTAGGCCTAAGTGGCTCTGCTACTCTTTCATTTCTTTGATGCTAAAATTACACACTAACAATGGTTTCTCTTTGAAATTTGAGGTTTGTTACAAAGTAGGGTAATAAATCTTAAATGAACATTCTTACCTTTATCAAGAATTTCAATCCCTTCTCCTTTCATCTTGCAAACCAATTTCTCTTGTAGCTTTTTTACTTCAGCTTCTTTCTCTTCTAGTTGCTCTTTTAAAGATGCCAGTTCATCCTACACATTGTGAATTCATTTTAAAATAGTAATTTGAGTAAAGGGAATACTTGAAGAACATATTAACTCTTTAAATCAATAACTGGATTGTGAAAATGAAACAAAACTGCATGAATTTAGATACAAATATCAGAAATTAGTGGCAATGATAAACAGGAAGCAAGACTGTTAAGTCCAATTTATTGGGTTTTTTTGGTACCGGCGATCAAACTCGGGTCCTTGTGCTTGTGAGGCAGGAGGCGGAACCACTGAGCTAAATCTCCGGCCCTAGTCCAATTTATATTAATTATGATGTATCATTTCAAGTCTGTGAATAAAGTAAAAAGAAATCTTGCAAAATATAATCAGAACTAGGATAGTCCTTAGGTTTAGATCTTATGTTACATTAAAAAATCTGACCTTGGGCCAGGGATTTAGCTCAGTGGTTTCGCCGCCTGCTGCGCAAGCGCAAGGACCCGAGTTCGATCCCCGGTACCAAAAAAGAAAACATAAAAAATCTGACCAAGTTAATCAAAGAGATAATCAAATCAAAATTAGTGTCATAAAAACAAAATAAAATGCCAACTGGAAAACAATCACTTGATATTCATTCAGCATTTCAAGATGGCCTGGACAAGAGCTGAGCTTAATCAGTGGGCAAGGTGGCAAATCATGGAACTAAATAATTCATCCTCATCACTAAGTAAAAGGATAAAATCTTCTACAGAAATGGGAAAAAACAAATCTAGAAAACAGATTAAGTCCTTGTTATTTTAAAGTATGCAACTGCAAAAGCTTCTGACTCTGTTGTTCTACTTGCTAATAATTTAAACTTTGCTGGCTGTATTTAACACAGAAAATAGAGCTATGTAATGCTACTTTGTGTACTTTAATATTTGATGTTAATTTTATTTTCAGAGTCTAAATATGTTTACTATGCTCAGTAATATGAGAAGATGTAGTCCACCACTGAAGCTAGAAGGCTGGCCTTAAATTTTGGCTTATGTTAAGACTGGTCATCAAGTATAACACATTTTTAGCAACACCGGCAAGGGTTGTTCTCACTGTGCTGCTTCTAAGCAGTAATTTCTACTCACTGATACAGTTAATTTCGGTATATACCTACATTCAAAAAAGCCTGGAAAGAGGAAAGAGCCTCAGTTATTTATATGAAATAGAATTCTTCTACAAGGGAACTTTTTTTTTTTGGTACCAGAGATCGAATTCGGGTCCTTAGCTTGCGAGGCAGGTGGTGGAACCACTGAGCTAAATCCCCGGCCCACAAGGGAACTTTTATAAGTATTTTACAATGTCTGGGGCTCAGATAATCTAAGAGGGTTAGATTTAATTTATAAGGTAATATTTTTATTTTACCTTTCTATTATTTTTCACTAATTATTCATATATTTCTGAAAAGAATATTAGGGCTCTCACTGACCCTTTGATCGACATTGTGCATTTTTTCATAAACAGATGACAAACACACAAAATGAATGCACATACCACTAAAAACAGCATCACAGCAAAACAACACAAGCTAGAAAGCAACAGGCTGTGGAGCCCATCACTCCAAGTCTACTACACCTTCAGTGACTCCCATTTTTGTTCCATCCGCTGCTTTTCATACTGCATCTGACCCACCTTGATTTTCATGCTAGAAAGTTTGGCCATTAAAGACTGGTAGAGAGACAAAGGGTTGAAAGAAAACTAGAAAACTAGAAAAAAACAAGCTAAGTAACCAAGAAAATAGCATCAATTTTCAAGAAGGTTAGCTAACCAAGAGAAATGGCAGGTTACATTCTGGCAGATTAGTTAAGTTTTATTTTTTATTTAAAACAATAGTATGTAAATTCAAGAAGGTTGGCAGATTGGTGAAAAACTTCACTCACGTGTGAAACAACTTCATTATCATACTAAGTAGAAACATATTTTATTTATATATTATTGATCATAGATGAGTAATGGTGCCATTTGTTAAAAGTTCCTTTTTTTCTTAAAACCAGTGAGAAACTTACTTTGGCTGATTTAAGCTTTTTTTCATACTGAAGTCTTTCACTGTCCATTTCATCAACTTTTAATCTCAAATCATTGATCTCCTGTATTAGTCCCTGTCCAAAAAGAAATAAGGAAATGTACCAGGAAAGTTGAAATACAGTTACCTGAATTAAAAGAGCAGCTTGGAATCTTAAGAAATCAACAGCTTCTGAAGTTAAAAAGTTGTGTCATCTTACTGGAAATACAGTAAATGTATGGTACAAGAACCTAATAATTTCCCATTTAAAACACTGCTTTAAATTGCTTTAAATTCCTAATGCCTCTGCCCTAAAGTGGTGGGATTATGAAAACAAAAGGTGACCGTAATTTTGTGGTTTTCTTTTCTCTTTTTTTTCTCGGTACTGGAGATGGAATTTAGGACCTTGTACCTGCAAGGCAGGCATGGCGCCACTGAGCTAAAACCCCACCCAACCAGACCCGAGGTGGCTATAATTTTGATTAAGAAATATTATAGTATTATTAACTATCCTTGTATAATGAGTCCTTAGTAATCTTCCTTCATCTTATCTTTTTAATACATATTTTCCAACTTTTTTATTGTTAAAAGAATATGGCACTGTTTTACTTTCGTGGCTATTTGCAAAACAGAAGAAATATAATTAAATGGAGCTATACATGTGAATCATTTTTGTTTAAAAAAAAAAATGCCCCACTTCACCTCATACTGGGGATTGGACTCAGGACCCAACACTATACTGCATCCCCCAGCCCTTTTAAAATTTTGAGATAGGCTCTCATTAAGTCATTACGTGGCCGGGGCTGACCTGAACTTCTAATCCTCTTGCCTCAGCCTCTCAGAGTGCTGGGAGTACAGCTGTGTGCTTGGAATCTGGCTTGGAATAGCTTCTTAAGATATCATTTATATATCAGCAGCCCTTTTAATTGGTTCAGCTTCCAATGATCTTTTTTTTTTTTAAGTTTGGTACCAGGGATCGAACTCGGGACCTTGCGCTTGCAAGGCAGGTGGCAGAACCACTGAGCTAAATCCCCAGCCCAGCTTCCAATTATCTTTTGTGGTAATACTTTAAATATGAAACCTAAATTTCCAACCTGGAAGAAGTCATATCTTTCCAGACAACCTTAAAAATGGAATATAAATGGCTGGGGGGGCGGATGGGATAAAATAAAATTTATTTTAAAAATGGAATATAAATTATTTCAAGTAACTTAGCAGAATTCAGCCCTAAAGAAAATGTTACTTTTCCCTTTGAGAGAATTCTGTACTCTTACCAACAGGAGGCACTGTTGAATTACTAACCATCTGCCATTAGCAATTTCTGGAGTCAAATCCTGAATTTTACAAGGTTTAAAGACTGTAATATACTATCTTTTGGAAATAACTGTACTTCTTCCCCACTTCAATATTTTCTTAGAAATTAATATTCAAGGGCTGGGGATTTAGCTCAGTGGTTTTGCTGCCTGCTGCACAAGTGCAGGGACCTGAGTTCAATCCCCGGTACCAAAAAAAAACAACAACAAAAAAACCAAAACAGAAATTAATATTCAATACTCTAAAATTCTTAAGACAAAGTTAAAGGATTTGGGATTCACAAAACAGCTAGAAAAACTTTACCTCTATTAAGGGAACAATAACAGGAATATAAGCATATTAAATTCAGTTTTCATTTTGAAGACTATTTCAATTATTTTCATATATAACATTACAAAGCTTATCAAATCCTATAACCTGTTGGTATGTGCACACTACACTTTACCAATAGTATTGAACAGAAAATTATCAGGGATTGAATTTACTGAAGTGGGATGACAAGATCACTTTGCACAATAAGAATGCATGAGTGAAGGAAGTGATGGGGGGGGAATGTGACAAAAAGCAGACGAACTCGAGAGATGTAAATGTTGTTCTAGGATCTTACAAAAAACTATAAAACATCTACTGCAATTTAGCACCAATATTTAGTTAACATCTTGTACCCAAATTAAAGGAACAAAAGTCACACAGATTAAGATTCCCCTATACTTTGCATATATGACACAGAAGGCCACCTCTTCATCCACATGTCCTATAACTTCTTCCTGTGTAACAAAACTAGTTCCATTTACAGTCTCTCCACTTGCTGATTGAATTCTATTATGTCAGACAGTGATTATGAGGTTAGGGAACGACAGAAAGAAGAAAATTTAAATAAATGTCAAAAAAACCACAAAAGCAAGAATTTTAAAAAAGTGAACTAACCTTCTAAGTCTTGTTTTAAGAGCTCAAGTCTCATCTGGGATAGGAAATATAATTTTCAAAGTAGTAATGGAGCAACCTTCATATAATGGACTTTCATATAATGGGTAATAAATGTGATGTACCTGGTATCATGATGGCATATGGTTGATGTGAAATTAACCATCTAACAAGATGAGGAGAAACATAAGCAAATGATTACCTCTGTTTCTCCTGGATACCCACTTTCTGACACAGTATGATACTTCCTCATAATCAAGAAAACAAAAGAGAAAAAGAAAGAGATGGTCCTTGGAGAAAAAATTTCTATAGTTTTACATTTAATTTTACTTATTTACTTTGTGAAGTTGGAGGTCAAATTCAGGGCCTTGTACAGGCTAGGCAAGCACTCTTAACACTGTCTTACATCCAGCCCTACATTTAATTTTAAATGAATAGAAATCAAATGAACAGGCTCTCTTTCCCCATCAACAAAACACTAACTAGAAGACTTGGATTAGCAAAATAGCAGAGTGGGGATGATGGTATACACCTGCAACCCCAGCACTCTGAGAGAATGAGGCAGGAAGATCACAAATTTGAGGCAAGCACGGGCAGCTTAGGGAGATCCTGTCTCAAAACAAAATAAAAAGGGCTGAGGATGTAGCTCAACATGAAGACCTGGGTTCAATCCCTAGCACCTCAAAACAACAGTAAAATAGGAAGAACAATAAAGTTTGTGCAGCCACAGGTACTTCACACTGTAGAATCTACTCTGAGTTTCATAAAAGTATGTTGACGTTTACTTAATTGAAATGATTTATGTGTGTAAGAGACCAAATGTAGAAGGTCAAATTAAATGACTTCTGAAATGTTTTATGATTTTATGATTATATAAAGTAAGTACGTTTCTATATAAGATATCCCCTTATTTGTAGTAAATAATCAGTGTATCTAAATGAGGACTTCTAGTAAAGCCATACATATAAATACATTATTTACAACACAGGAAAGCCAGTATGGCTAGATAGATAGGTGTTAAAAATATCTTGAAGTTGAACGTACTGTATTTCTATAGGCTAATGAAAGGATTAGTATTTCAAATCAAAAGTCTCAAAATAAAAATTGTCATTAGCAGTTAGGGAATGAACCCAAGACCTTATGCATACTAAACACCCCCTCTAACACAGAACTACAGCCCCAACCCCTTAAAATTAAGCAGGATGAGTGCATATAGTAACTAACCACTCCCCTTCACACCTGTGGGTAATTTTAGCTTTATTGTAGGATCATGTATGTGAGGGAGAAAGACAAAGTGAAGGGATCACTTACTTCTGTGTTTCTGAACCTGTCTTCATAATCCAGTCTGTCCTTCTCTACAGCTGTCAATTTTAACTTCAAGTTAGATATTTCAGCCATCAGATCCAACTTTTGGGTTTCTAAGGATGTCCTACTCAGAAGCTCCTATTTGAATTTAAAAGATACGTTTAAAAATTATTTTACTATAAATTCTACATGTGAATTTGTGTCATTTATGATTGCAAAGCAGCAATGATCAAGCATAGAATGTGGTGAAGAATGATCACTAAATACTTTTATTCTCCTCTGGGTAGAACTAACATGTAACTAACATGTAAGAAATAGTCACAAATATAAATTGTATCTATTTTTCTTCCCTAGTGCTGGGGATGGAAGCCAGGGCTTCATATCTGTTAAGCACACATTTTACAACTGAACCCTCTCCCAGACCCCTTACTATGGTATATACTTAAGCCAGATAACACTGATGACGATGACCACACTATGTTTGCTATGTGTTGTGTACTTATGTGATGTATATTAATGGTCCAATCCCAAAAGCAAGCTTTATTTTGGCAATAACTCTTATTATCCTCATTCATCAGATGAAAAAGCTGAGGATCAGAGAGATTAAGAACTTCCCAAAAGGCATACAGCAAAGAAATGACAGCAGGAATTCAAATCTATGCAGTGTTGCTCCAGTGTGTACTCTTCCTTACTATATCACAGGGCCTCTCATATAAGAGCACCGTATGTATGTGTATGAGCTTTTCTCAGTAACAAAGGTCATATGTGTTACCTTCTTTTTAATTTTATGGGTAAATTTTAGATATATATAATGATAACATTCATCTATCTTCTTTCTTAATCATAAAATATATTCTCATAGTAAGAGTCAGGAAAACAAATACAAAAAGAAGAAACTCAACCTAAAATCTTATTAATTTTATATGATTCAAATTAAATAAACACTTTGCATTATGCCTGTATGTTCTGAGATTCTGCTGCTTTAGATTTTTGCTTAAAATGTGCCAGTCTAAGTGAATCTGAATTTCCTGCTAAGCCACAGTAAAGTAGCATCTCAAATAACATAGTTCAACAGCAACTCTCCCCCGACCCCACAACCCTTTGCTGCTGTTCATACCTGCTGCAGCATTTCTTCTGTGGCATTCAACTTCTCTCTGTGCTCTTCAAGACAGTATTCCAAATCTCGAATCTTTTCTCCTTGAGCCTCCACCTGGTCTGTTAACACGCTTACCTGTATTTAGAGCAAAATGAGTTGGAAAAAATTTGGGTCTGACTGTGCGCTTTATTTTTCCAAATGGAACAAAACCTGGAAAAATCTCACCATTTGTAAGATGGTAAAGAAAAAAAATTGGGGAATTAATGATAGTGATCTTTCACTTTCCTATTTATATACTACTTTTTGATTTTAAACATTCTAATTCAGTTTAAGAGAAAGTTATTGGTGATTAGGGATATCCAATACTTTATAGACTTAAAACTATTTCAATCACTTATAAGAGAGAATATGTATCTAAATTATATTTTTTGAGATGTAGGAGAGAGTATTAGAGGTTAAAAGAAGACATGAATCAGACATATCAAGGATTATTCAAATCTTCAAGAAGAGTAACGGAGAGAACCCAGGAAATTCACATTCCATGGGATCTTTTAATATCACACTGATCACAAATGTATTTAAAACCAAAGTGCAGGACTATGGGTGTGGCTCAGTAGCAGAGTGCATTCTCAGCATGAATTAGGGCTTGGTTAATTTCATTACCCTGCCGAACGCCAGGACTCAAAGGTCCATGAAAAACTGTAGGGTTAGTCTCTTCTCCTCAGTACTTACTACAAATCTGTAAGTTTCTGCTCAATGATCACCATCCTAGTAAATATACCTCAATTCATGAAGCTCAAAATACCAAAGAAAAAAAGATTTGTCTAGCATTTGAAACATGAGGAAACAAACAAATTTAGCCTACATATAGGACAGCACCAACTGCTGTATTTTATTTAGCCCATGGTGTAATTTTAAAAATCAAAATATTAAATATATATTCAGATTCAGAAATATAAAATGCTGCTATAGTACAGATATTCATATATGAGTTTTTAAAATATATTAAAATATATTTAAGAAGCAGGTCAGATCAGATGACACAAGAAAAGCATGTATCACATGACACTGTGCATGTATTCAAATTGTCCTTTGAACAGCTGAGGGTAAGCACTGCTCCTTTCACACTGGTGTGCACACCCTTGCTCTCCAAGCCTTTATCACTCCCTACTGTGCACAGAGGGCCTACTGCACGCACTTCTCTTAGGAGTCTGTCTGTTTTAAGCATCTGAATTTACCATTTCAATCTAATATACCCTTTTTAAATACGTATTCCCTTGGTATCTGTGATAATAGTTTCAGGATCTTCACATACATCAGAGTACCTTACATAAAATGGTGTAGCATTTGGATGTAACCTATACATATCTTCTCATATACTTTAAATCATCTCTAAATTACCTAGTTTAATGTAAATAGTTATTACAGTATATTTTTTAGGGCACAATGACAAGAAAAAAGAGCCTGTACATGTTTAATACATAATTTTTCCAAATATTTTTTATCTGAAGTTAGAAAGGCCAACCATATGTCATGGGAAAAGAAAGACACTTCAAAATCACTTGCCTGAAGAACAAGGGACTCTTTATCATTTTCTAAGCGTGCTAGCCTTTCTTGATACATATCTCCGTTCCCAAGTAGGTGTCCATTTGTCTGAAAAAGGTAATATAGGCAAGATCAACTTTTATACTTTTATTCCAGAGCCTAAATTAAATTCAGCATAGCTATTACTTCCATTAATGGAAAATATGAAAATTCATTTACTTCAAAATAGGCATATTAGGGTCAAAATAACGACCTTGAAGAACAGCAATTACTCACTTTCTTAGTAAGCAGACACACACCTACTGACATGTAACGTTTTGTGTGTGTGTGTGTGTGCGTGTGTGTGTGTGTGGTAGTGTGCAGTATCTCTACTTCTCCTGAATGCTCAAGAATCATGAATTCTGAGTATGGACTATGGTTATGACCTGTGTTACCCTGCTGTTCACACCACTCCCATCCTCAAGTACCACATCTGGAACTACAAATGCCTGCATTTAGGTAGGAGACAGCAGAAGCAACTCACACTTCAGTCTTCCTTCTGCTCACTCAAGTCTGCCATTCACAGGACAAGTTTTCCCATCACTTTGAAGCCCTGGGCCTTGAGAAAGTTTCCTCTTCTCCAAAAGCTTCAACACTCAGCCCTTAGTGACTTCCCCTGGTGGCACTGACCCCTATGCTTACTAGCATTTTACCACTTTCTGTACTGACCTCATTAACTTCTAGTAAGTTGACTTGTTCATATAATATTCAGCTTCTGGGCAGAGCTTGAAAATGTCTCAAATTGGCTCAATGGGCTGCCCCTTTCATCTATCTTCTTTTAAATTATTTTTTGGTGGTACTGGGGTTAAAATTGAGGGACACTAACCACTAAACTACATCCCCAAACTTTTTTTTTTTTTTAAGACAGGATCTAGCTATGTTGCTTAGGATTGCCTCAAACTTTCAATCTCTTGCCTCAGCCTCCTAAGAAAACGGGATTAATAGGTGTGTACTGATCCTTTTTTTTTTTTTTTTAAATCATGTTTGGATATACTTACACATGGTATAAATGCCAAAGAAGTACAAGAACCCTTGTTTTTCTCAGTTGTCTTTCAAGCAAGTCATAAAAGAGACATTTGAATAGGATCACAATTGATATATAGTAGTATATGTGATGTCTCTTGTAATCCCATTAAATAATGCATAGCCATATAATATGCAATCCCCATAGAATTTCTTGATTCCTCATTCAAATACAACAGAAAACAAAAACTAGTTGGGATCCAAAACAGATAGTTAAGGTCTTCTAGTGTTCAACTGAGAAAGTAGTTAACACATTTAGATTTAGAACAGAAAAAATAAAAACAGTACATCCTCACAGTCAGGGGCATATCTGTCATAACATCACTACTTTTTCAAAATTAACTGATATTACTGTTGTACCTTTTCAATTAATGCAGTTTTTAGTGTTAGTTTTAGGAATAACAAAAGTCATATGTTGAGAGATAAAAGGGGGAAAACAAAATAAAATGGGGCTTTAACAACAAAAAAAGGAAACATTTCAAGATTCTCCTTCTAAAAATTTAGGAGTGTACTAAATTACATTTCCCAACAGGCCAGAAGAAGAATCAGAATCAGAAGCTAATTTAGTTAAATGGACAATGTGTATTTAGAGTGGATAAAATTTTAGCATCAGCTGTTTGACCACACACCTGCACAATTACCACAGTGTAGTTCATGTTGTTATCTCAAGTGCCCAGAACTAAATTATAACAGTTTGATGGAGTAGTTTTATATGATTTCCATTCCCTAGAGATTATCATGAAAATGTAATTTACATAACTTTTTGAGGACAGTTGTTTGGAAAACAGCCAGAATATATAATACATGTTCTCAATCTAAGAAAGTGCTGACAGGACCTGTAGAGTTTTAAATTCCTCAATTTTATTACAAACATTAACAGGAATTTGTTTCTGAAGTCCCACCCAAGCATCATCTTCTAAGTATGCATTTCATTAGGTAGAAAAAAAATGCTTTCTGTTCAATGAGGAAAAAGTAAAACTTTTAAGCGACCAGATCTTGCTGTGTTGCCCAGACTGGCCCTGAACTCCTGGGCTCAAGTGGTCCTCCCCCTCATCTCCCAAGAAGTTGGGACTACAGGAATGCACCACAGTGCCTGACCAAAATGTTCCTTCCTTCCTCCAATCATTTTCTTCCTTTCCTCTCTCATCTTTTTCTTCCCTCTCTCACTCCTTCCTATCATGTTGGGATTGAACCCAGGGCCTCACCCATGTAAGAATGTGCTCTACCACTGAGCTATATATAGCCCCAGGCCCCTTTTTTCTGATTGGAAGAAATTATAGCCAAATCAGTAGTATTTACTCTCAAGCTACTAAATATGACACCAGAAATGTTCCCCAAAATTCTGAAAATTGACTCAAAATGAGTGTATGTATGTTTCTCAATGCTGTAATGTTATTTATAAGCGCTTATAATATTCACCATAGCAACATAAAAAGGAAACTTAAGAGTCACCACTAGAATAGTTACATACTTGTGTTAAGGTATTCAAGTAGGTAAAGATTTCTCCTATCCATGTGTTTGGTTGATAAATCGTCCCACTTTTGCTACTTTTGCTTTAAGAATGTTAGAGGTAAATCTGTTCAGTAAACACCTAGTATCCCGTTTATTCTTCCTTTGATTCCTGTTCTCCATCTACCTGATCACCAAAACCTAAGATGGCAAGCTCTCTCATAAACTATTTTTATTTCTTTTGCATGAGATACTTTCTAATTTTTTCCTCTTCTTTCCTATGCCTTAAGGTCTACTTCTATGAGGACTACTTCAAGTCACCCTTGAATTCCCAGTTCAGTCATACGCCAGTTATAGCACGAGATGAACCTTAATTACAGCAGGCATCACCCTGAATGGACTAAGTTTAGACTACTTAATACGTTTCTCTTTCAGCAGTGTCTGAATTCTTTGTGAGTAGATTCATCTTTATATCTGACACAGTGGACACTGACTACTGAATGAAGGAGCCAAGATAAGTGTTCACTAAACAATGGTTGAATGTAAGATTGTCTTAGTTACTTCCTCATTGCTCAGACAAAATACTTGACATCCTCAAGTTAAAGGAGGAAAGATTTATTTTAGCTCACAGTTTGTAGAGGTTTCAGTCCATGGTTGGCAGGCTCCAAGGCTGGGTGGAATGGTAGAGGGGCAACAGTTCATGGCAGGGCAGGCAGGAAGCAGTGAAGTGGGAATATCAGTATCGAGCCTTTTTCTATTCTATTCAGGCTATAAGCCTACTGGTTGGTGGCACCCACACCCAGGGAGGGCCTTCCCATTATCAACACCCAGAACCATACTTAACAAATAAATGGACTAATTCAGTTATCACACACCCTTAATCCACATTCACACACTCTAGACACAGCCACCTCCAAAAAGTCCTACCTATGAGTGCATGAGGCTTTGGGGGAACATCTAGATACCAGACATAAAATTCCACCCTGGCCCCCAAAATACTCATACACATCCCTTTATGCAAAAGGCATTTAGTCCATCTCTAAGAGTTGCCAAACTCTTAATAGTTTCAGCACTGCTGAAAAGTCCAAGTCCAAAGTTTTTTCTGAGATTTAAGCCAACCTCTTAGCTTCGAGCCCCTGTACAAGTAAAAAGAAAGTTAAACACTTTTAACATCCACTGGCAAAAGATGAACATTCCCATTCCAAAAGGTACAAATAGGGGAACAGAAAGAAATGAGACCAAAACAAGATCAAAATCCAGCAGGGCAAACATTAAATCCCACAGTTCCATGTTCAACACCCGGGACAATCTGTGAGCTCCAAAAAGCTTGGGGGCTCTGCCCCTAGAGCACTGACCATGGTTGTAGCTCTCATGGCTTCTCTCTTGGGACAGCTTTGCTCACTTCTTGCAGCTTTCCTCAGATAATCTATGTTCCTAGCTTCGCCAATCTTCTGGGATCTCCACTGCACCTTTGGCTTTACACTTACACCTTCACATGCTGCTCTCTCAGGGGCACACTGCTTGGCCTCTCAGGCTTTCTTTTAAAATCTGGGTGGCAGCCTTATTAACTTCACAGCTCTCACATTCTGCATGCACTTAAAACCAGCACCATGTGGATGATGCCAAGATCTGCCACCAACTGGAGCAGCAGCCTGGCTTCCTTCTCCCTTGGCTGTAGGAGTTTTAAAATCATTCAGCTGAGCCATTTGCTTTTGATTCTCAAGGTAGAATTGGCTAAAATCCCCCAACATTAGTTATGCCACCACCTCAATGTTAGACTGCCTTGAAATTTCTTCTGCAAAATTAAACAATCCACTCCCCTTTATCTGAATCTCCCACAAAGTCTTAGGACATGAGCAAAATGCAGACAAATTTTATGCCAGAGCATGGCACACGTGGTCTAGAGTTCAACTGTCAACTGAATCCTTCTTCCCAGATGAAACAGCTTGAGCCTGGTCTTTTCCAGCTGCATTACAGTCAACACTGTGGTCTTCTGAGCTCTAACCAGAATCTCTCATGAAGATTGTCTTACAACATGCTAGGGTTTAGTCAGCATCTTCAAACCTTTCCAAACTCTTCCCACAACCTTCAAAAGGCTTCTGAACCACATGGCCAGGTAGCATCACAGCACTATACACTACCGTGGTACCAAAATCTATCTTAGCTACTTTCTTGTTGCCAAGACAAAAATACCTGACACCCACAAGTTAAAGGAGGAAAGGTTTATTTTAGCTCATAGTTTGTAGAGGTTTCAGTCTAGTTTGCTGACTCCAAGGCAGGGCAGACAGGAAGCAGTGAAGCAGGAGCACTGAGCCTCCCTTGTCCTTTTATTCCATTCAGGCTATAAGCCTATTGATTGGTGTCATTCACACCCAGAGTGAGCCTTCCTATTATTCACACCAGAACTAGTCTAAACCAATCAGTTGGCTAATCCAGTTAGATACCTCTTAATCCATATTCACACACTTTAGCCCAGTGGTGGAGAACCTATGGCCCTCATACCGCAGTGAGCATGCAGAGCCCTCTCTGTTGATATGCAAGCCAAGTTATACCAGTAGCCTTGGATATTTGGGTTTAATTGCAGTGTTGGCACTTTG